TCCCTGCTTTTACTTATTGTTTCACCAAAATACTGCACTTCGCGAGCAAGGTCTGTTTTATCATCGTAACGATACATTCAACCTCTTCTTGAACACTTGACGTCAGTTTTTGTTTTCACGGTGAATATCACACACGCGGAACCGTGGTATTTAGGAATTTAATTGCATTACGCGACGTCCATCGTCTATGACGGTCGGACGATAACTGTCAAAGTCGAGAGGTATTCGACAGATCACGTTCTCAAACCGCACGTGTTGCCCAGTCGTCGTAATGTCCTTTGTTCAAGGATATTTTCATACAATTTTTGTTTACATTCTGCTTCTACGTACTTGCATATACATTTTTTGAAGTTAAAACTGTCCCGAACGTTCTCGTATTTTCCCAAGGTCTTTCTCGGTTTCCGGGCATTTTTTAAGAGAATTAAATGAACATATATGTATGATTTTAAAATTATTAAATCAACACTATTTTGTTAGATTTATCAGTCAGTTAGATATGACAAAAATTAATCTAACGTCCTACTAGGAAGTATATTTTATATACGTTCGGAGAAATCCGTTTAGCCTTACCATCTCTGTTTAGTAAAGATCTAAATGTTTATGACACGTGACAAAAGGCCCTTCGGTCCCAAGCGGGGTCGTAGGCAATGTTAGGGCGTTGCGTAGGAGCATTCTCAGTCGGTATACAGTGCTCTTACCATCAAGTAGAAAAGCGAACCTTCCTTGTGTCTAATAAAAGTTTATAGTTTAAAATAAGGATTATTAATTATTTAACAACAAATAACTCCCATAATCCAATAATTTTTGATAAAATTTCACAAAGTTATTTATTTACGGATGTGCTGCTTCATGTTTCCCGACAATCTACCCGGTGGATCTGTTTTTGAAGTTCTACTATCAGCAGTCTCTTCCGAGTCAGAATCATTTACTTGTTGATCGGTAACCCAGATCCTTGCTACTTCTTTTAGAAACTTATCGTAAGTTATACGTACATTTGTGTTTAACTTCTTGCAAATTACTAATGCATCGAAGAGAGCGCAATTAAATAGAAACAAGACCACTCTCTTCGACCATTTTTTAGTTTCTCTCATTATGCCGCAATACGAGAGGCACTGATCGGCCCTATCTACCCCTTTCATATATTTGTTATAATCGTTAATGCAATTTGGACAACTAATGGTAACAAGAAAAAATCCAGTACGCATAAAAATGAAAAACTAACGCAGCGTAATAAAAATTCAAGCAAAAACGTAAATCGACGTGGGCCGTCCTAGGAAGTCAGAATGGAGAAACGTAAGTTTACGTGACCCGTACGTTAAGTGTTAAAATAAAAATTTAACAGAAGAAACATCGTCGATTTGTTAACGCGCCAAAGCCCTTTACACGTACGTTGTGATCTGTTAGTTCTCCTTCGTAGTTATCGCTTTAAAATGCAGTCTGTCTACGTTTTAATAATTAATTAATGTAGTGATTTTATAATCTCCAGTGAAATAGCATTTTAACGTTCGATCGGTATTTTTTAGAATGCACAACAATGTGGAAATTTATCGACGTGAAAATTTAAAGTAGGTTAGATTGAAACAACGGTTTGGTTTATTACGTTCAAAGGCGAGAAGAAATGAGAAATATTAATGAAACAAGTAATGTGTTGTAAATCAGGAAACGGAAGTATTACTAAAGATGCTTTATCAATCAATTCACTTTTCACTAAGTGTAATATCTCGATTAGGAAAGTTCGAAGGAAAGTACACGTTCAAATACTTTAGCCATAAATCATAATACACACTGATGTGATTGAAACTGATAAGAAATTCCTTCCTTGTTAAACGAGTAAAACTTGTTTACAGAAAGAAATATTATAAATACACCTATAGTAAGAAATACATAAGCTTCTGAATTTTTCAGACTTCTAGCCAGTAATACCGATGAATAGAGCGTAGTTCCTCTCTAAATTTATCGTTCATGATCAATGTTTATAATGTTCCGTGAGCTTCGAAAATTTCCACGTGATCATATTACACGCTTAAACTAGGATTTTCATGTACAAATAACTGAAATATACAAGTTTCGAATAAAATTCAATATTTTTGTAACAATAATAACATTGTTGACGATATTAATTTTAAATTCAATTCTACATTTGTTCCCCTTTCGTATAATTGAAATTTACCTACCGGCAGTACCTAACTAACAACATTATCGCAATATTGACATTCGACACGGCAATAAAATACTAGTTAAAAGTCCCTTAGAGGGAATAATTAAATCGACATGATATTGCCACTAAAAGTAACAAGGTTTTCCCCAACGCAAAGCTAACATTTCAAAGAGAGGAAATTAGTTTAAATTAATTCATAAAAGCTTCACACGAAGGATATCCATAAAGCAACAATTAAGGTTACAAGTTGTACAAATGTGAAACCTGTACTTGACTAATTCTATACAAATTGTAAGCATTTGCCGTTGTATCCAACGATTCTGCATGCTACAAATATCGCGTAGGTGTACGAAGGAATAAAATACGTGTACATTTGGTCGGTCGATCGACAGCACGACGAATTCGCAGAAGCTGAAATTCAAAGGAGAGACTTGAAATTCACAGAAAGGTATTTGTAACAAAGTTCAAGACTAAAGTTCCTTCGTGACGAGCTATTATATTTGCGGATATAACTCACGCCTACGTCATATCATCGGCGATAATAGAAACATTTCTTCGATATTACGTCGCACTTCCGATATCAATCTGTTCTTAATGAAGGTAACCAAGGAGGGTTTTCTTTCAAATTTCTCGAATTTTCCGAACACCTCGCGTTCGGCGTATTTTCAACAATAGAGGAACGAAAGTGCTTTTCACTGTCATCGTTTCGATCCAGTTACCTCGATACAGCATTTTAGACAAATTGCACTTCGTGTTTTAAGCAAATTTACCTTACCCTTCAACCTTGCGATTCTGTTTGCTTTCGAAAATGGAGTCTTTTAATTCGACATTTGGAACCACTGCTGCTGTTCTAACTTATCAGTGTCGATCAATTATTCTGGTTTACGTAACCTGGAACAAGAATTTTAGATACGAGTATAAAAAGTGATAAAGACTATAAGAAGATTAACTGTACAATACGGTAATAATATATCGTATCAATAGCGATATTAAACAGAAACGATACTAAAATAACTTTCATCAAGGTTCAACTAATTTTTGGAATTATTGCTAATATCTCGTTCGAGTAATTAAAGGGTTCATTATATCAACGAGTTAACGTGAGCACAGAAATATAAATTACTGCTTCTTTACGTTACATATGTTTCAGAGGTGAAATATAACATGTGTGTTGTTTAGCAGGCGACAGTTGAATTGAAATTTATACAATACTATCAAAATTCAATCATACTCCAGCTTTTTGTAATTTCTTTGGTGTATCTATTTATCAGCTTATTGTTGAAGCGAAAATTTCCTACAGAAAAATAATTATTCGTTTTATTAAAGAACGATCATTCGATAAAATAAAGCAGCACGACATGTAGAACGTGCTCTTTATTTAAGACAGTCGACAATAATTCGATAACAATGACTTTTTAAACGAAAATCCCAAAGCAGAGCCTCCCCCACTTTCAAGAATAAATCAGAAAACGTTGAACTAGAACGATATACCAATTATGACACTTGTTTCACCTGAATCTCTGACAATGTATGCACCGTACGAGTAATCATGCAATGATAGATAAAGGCTTTGTGCCTCGAGGAGTACGGTTAGTGTGTTCCTGGACGTCGATCGGTGAACTACGTAAATTTCGTCAAGATCCAATTCCCCGTTACGTGATCCAGTGTACTTGATTGCTTTCGATCGTGGCGGTCGTATATGTACAACCGAGACAAAAACGTGTCCACCGAAGATATTCGCCTTTGTGATTGAGTTGGTGAAACTGGAGCTTCGAGAATTGTTGAAATAATATTTGGCATTAGTGGTACTGAAGCGAAAGTGTTGTTTAAACGTCTGATAAGAATTTTCGCAGTGCCGAATGTGTATATACATAATTTCGCCGTGAACAAGTAAATTACTATGAAAATGGATGCATCTTAAGCATAAAAGGTAAGCCTCGAAATTTAACCGTGAGAGGTAATGTTCGTTTTTGAGTAAAAGGATCGGGGGTACATTTGTTGCTACTTTTATAAAAATTATAAATTAAAGTCATGCGTCAAACGTGCTCTTTATATAAGATAATGCTCCATTCCGGCGTTTTCACCGGTGAGATTCCAACTGTCTGCCGCTGGAAAAACCAATTACAAGTTTCCCGCGAGACTTCTTGTTAGTGTCATAACGTTGAAACCACCTAGTGGCCACGATTTTATTATCGCGATTGATTAAGTAATGCTGCCATTGCATGTTCCAGGTGTCGTTTTCGCCTCCACAATTCTATCAGTAAACAGAGAGGAAATATTTGTTAATCAGACACCGGCACCGAGAGGAGAGGACTTTGCACTATTGTATATGGACAGTATTTCGACGAGAATAAAACGTAATCCGTTATCAAAGTTGATACTAGAGCCAGCTAAGCGTTTATTATCTTTCTCGCCGTTCGGTCTTAAATCGATAGCAAGCAAATAATCAGTAAAGAATTTGTAAAATGATAGAGCGCGGAAATTCAAGACTCGAGTTAATACGTCAAAGGTGTTTCCAGATTGAGCACTGAGTATTTCAAGGCTTCGACGAAATATTAGGACATCGAGAAAATTTCAACGTCCAGTCGAATATTCTTTACCCAGAAAAACAGAAGTTCTAGTCAAAATGAGAGGAGAACATGGTGCAAACTGGAAGATCGAAAATGTCACCGGTGAATCAATGTTCGAAATTTTCTATCTCTCCGTGGCTTTCGACACGCGGTGTTTCAACTGCACGAAACTCCTTTATTAACTAAAAAAGACTGTTGTGAACAGAAGTTGCGACGAAGCGACACTATCGAGGAATCTGCTCGAAGAGAATATTTAAGAAGAATTGCCGAGGTTTTGCGAATGCTACAAAACAGATTTCGAAAAGAGAAAATGTCTGGAAGTTCTAAAAATCTTTTAGTGCTACTATATATTCTTTTTTATGACCTGCGGATTTGTATTGCTAGCATAAAAGATGAAACACCGATCATATACACGATCCCTTTGGTACGTATATGTTAATTAGCCTAATCAGTGCGACACGTAATGGAAATCTGCTAACTTCGGTAAATTATTTAGAAAATGTGTGGTCAGATTTGATGAGAAAACGGAGGAGAAATTTTAGATCGGAAAATGTTAATTCACCGTGTCAAATATTTTTCGAACTTTTCATTCGAGATTTGTGAAACGGGTGAAAATCTCTTAATAAAAATTCTAAACGATTTCGTAACATTTCTATAGAGAAAGTTGGGTTACGGAATCGGCAAACTTCGAAATATTAGCGTAAAAAGAAAGATTCAATTGTACATTATTCAGACAACATTGTTAAGTACAACAAATGAACGTGTGTGCGATGAATATAGTTAGTATGTTTATCGAGTTATTTTTAGTATTTTCGCAGTTCATCTTTGAGGCATCGGAGTTTCAAACTTGTGTTTTATTCTAAAAGAGTATTTCAATTTTAGTTGGTAAACAATTATGCAAACATCGTCGAATAATAATTAACGCTTCTTTATAAGTATCCCATTTTTATTATCTGTATTCGTTGAAAATTGAATCTTAACAATATTGAATTTTACGAATTAGAAATTTATCGATTGTTGATCAAGTAATTTGAATTCGCAAATGAAATATAAGAAATTCTCTTTAAATACGATTCGAAAATTTGTGATCACTTATTTTCTCCACATCTTTTGATATAGCATCAGATAAAAATAAATAAAAGACAACTTATTTGATTTACCTTAAATAAAATTAAAAATCCAACACGTTTGTTCAAATATTATATCAACAAACTATTTACGTATATACCGACATTGCAAACAGATAATCTTGCTTTACAGATTTTCTTTCAAACTTAACTTTTTTTTATCTTTATTCGTAATTGACGTAAAAAATAAAAACCTGTGGCAGTTTAATTCAGAAAAGTAATAAAGCATCAAGGACCGTGATAATGTTTTCATTAAGAAAGGAGAATCCTTTGAAGGGAGTTAATTCTTCGAATTTCGAATTAACATTCAAATATTAAGTATTCTAATTAAATCGGTAATTAAATTGCTCTAATCCCATATTGTGAGCGTCTCACGATTGTAAATTTTTAAACGGTATTATACTCCAAATTGCACGGTAAAAAATCGATTTAACATCAACGAAAACCTTAAAAGACAATGAAATCTTGGTACTCTGCGCGGGATAGTTTAGTTATTCCAGAAATTTTTCGTTACACCTACATAAAGTACTGTGTTAAATTACACAAGCAACATTTTTTCACGCATAGATATGAAATGCAAACATAACTCTTTTCGGCGAGATAAATATCGATACGAATTCAGATAAATCAATTTCTCAGATATGCACAAGAATATCTTTTCATTTTATTTCACAGCAAAACAACACGATAGAAGCAGAGAAGTATGAAAATTTACCTGTGGTAGGGAAATGCTGCGCGCTGAATGAGGTTTTTGTGAAAAATGGAACTCCCGCCGTTTGCTCAACTTCCAATTCCTCAATTGCAGGAACATTCCTTCCTCTTTTCCATGGCTTTAATTCAAGCGGGTACGAGGTCCCTGGGGACAAAGAGAGTGTATTTGTTGCGATTACAGGGAATCCTTGTGAGTACAAGTGAGTATGCAATTATTTAGGTGACAATTATACACAGGGTGTTCTAGATCTGAACCGACGAGCATCTCCAACATGTTTGGGAGGTGATTTTGAGCAAGAAATGTTATATGCACTATGGGTCGATTTGTCTTCGTTTTCGAGATGTAGACTATCCCCGCTAGATCTTTTTGTATGGGGTTTGGCATGAGATCGAGTGTGTATTTGGACAGAAAACCTGGTACGCGTGATGAATTGATAGTAACAATTAGAGAGACTGCTTTTACCGTCAGTAATGGTCTTGCTAATGTTCAGTGGATACGGTCCATGGAAGCACGCCTACTTTCGTGCACAGAGGCAAGAGGTGTCGATCTGTGTAAATCAGTCTGATACATCAGTGTAAAAAATAGTTTGAAATAAATGATCATCGTTGAAAGATAAGTAGCTTGAATGGATCCGACTACTCGTGGTTTATACTACTTTCTCCTTCCATATCTCGAAAGTGAAAACGAATCGACCCATGGGGAACACATCTTTTGCTCAAAATAACCTCCCAAACACGTTGGCAAAGTTTATCGGTTCAGACCTGGAACACCCTGTATTAACACTGTTTAACAATTTCGCTAATATTTAAACATTGTAAAGTATTTATTACAGACAATATCGTTAGTTTACAATATGGCATAAATATTTTTGTAAAATACAACGTATTCTAAACTGCAATGATGAACAGCGAAGAGAAATATTTTATAGCTCAAAGTGTCGTTTGGATTTAAAGTAGCGATCTAATTTTATCCTGAAGATCACAAAGAAAGCAAAACATTTGAATTCTTAAATATTCATTAGGCGAAATGTTATAAGCAATTTTAACAAAAATCGGGATATAAATACGTCAAAGTAGTTACAGCAATTCTGACTCAATTCCTACCTAACATTCACTTTAGAATAGACTCTTATCGTTTTATCGGAGTTCCATTGATTTAATTCTTCATAACAAAGGTGCTGTTCTTATAATACGTTGAGTAATTCAAAAGTTATATCTGTTATAATAATCTTTTCATTTGATTTGTTTAATATCTCTGAAACTGGATTGATAAATTTAACGCATCTAATATAATAATTAAAGTTAAACAGCTGAAATAAATAAATCATGTAAGAGAAACTTTTCGTTTATCTCCTTTTCTTAGATAGAAATTTAAAAGTAATACTTCTCCCATCTAATCTCGTATGTGCCTTGTATCTGGCCTTTTTTCATTCAAGGAAAAGTATAGTTAATTCTCTAATCCAAACGTAAGCGAGGGTCGTGAGAATTAACTTAAGTGCTTACTACAAGCTACCCACCAGATTTACAAGCTTTTTTAAATTCTAAACAATACGATATAAGAAAAACAATAGTCTCAGATAGCATTCAACGTCTTAGAGATATCCGTTTTACGATCATTTTCGATCTGAAGGTCTTGAAGACGTACGAATCGGTACGTTCTAACAACGAGGAAAAGTTACTTCTTTAAGACGTTTTAAGTTTCTAAAGGCAGCTCATAGTATTTCGCAGCGCCACGTTTCAAAGACATCTTGATTTGTAACACTGAACGACGCTGAGACGTCTTTTGGACACCATTACGTTTTTACGCGACGTCTTTAAGACGTTCACAAGACATGTGTGTACTATCTGGGACGTTAATAATATACACTGCTCGCTACAGAAATTACAGCTTCTAGAAATTCGAGTTGCACAAATCTAGAAATTACATGTGTTCTTCGGGCTACTCTTTTTTAATAAATAAGACTATTTTTAATCATTCTACTCTTTCGATACCCCAAATAATATATGCAAATTTCAGATTCGTGCGATGTCATTTTTAAGGTTTGCAATTTTTTCGACGAGCATTGTATATTACTGAAAGCAGTTGCAAGAATAACTACTGAAATATTCTGAAATATAAATTAAACACGAACAAAAGAATATATTTAACAAATTGTAGTAATATATTTATTTAACATTCGCACAATTTATATAGCATGCAAAAATTTTCCAAATATTAGGCCTTTCATTCTTATACTATACTAATGTTATTGTGCAATACGTTATATATACAGGGTGTCCCGTAACTCTGGGAAAATCCGGAAACGGGAGGTTGCTGGGGTGACCCTGAACAACTTTTTCCTTTTCCAAAATGTAGTTTGAAGCTTCGTTTTCGAGTTATTAACGAAAAACACTGGCCAATCACAGAGCGCGTAGAGCCCGCGCTCAGGGACGGGCGAACAGAGATTTACCCGCGCGCTATCGTGAACGACGCGTACGCGTCACTTCTCGGTTATCGATTGCTGTCAAAAAAATTTCACTTTGCAGAAATGGTTTCTTGCCGTCATTCCGACGTTTGTATAAATTTTTGAAAAAAACTGCAATTAGTCGGAATCGCGAAGAAAATAGCGAAGGTCGTTTTTATAACTTTTATATCTGAGCTCGTAATGAAAATTTAAAAAATACGTTTTGTAGATCTATGTCCATGATACGCACGCTGAAAATTTCATCGAAATCGGTTAATGTTTCTATGAGCTACAAACGGTTAAAGATTGTGAAAATCGCAGTATCACGACTTTCAGCGTAAAACTGTAATAAATCTGCAGATTCTTACATCTTTCGATGCCTGTCGCTTGTTTCTCCATCCATCGATTTCGATGAAATTTTCAGCGTGTGTATAATTGACATAGATCTGCAAAACGTATTTTTTTTTTTCATGAATAACAAATAAGTCGTTTAATAACTGTGTTCGATACTTTTATTCGTTATCCGAAAGGAATAAAGTGTTTTATTACTTATGAAAAACTTACCCATTCATCCACGAATGAACCTGCTTCGACGGAAGTGGGTCGTTGACACTGGGTCAGTGTGTCGATCCCGACCTTTCCAGGTAATCCGAAACAGCTGATGTTACGGTCGGGCCGTACGGTCGCCGCCCCTGAGCGCTGGCTCTACGGGCGCTGTGATTGGCCAGTGTTTTTCGTTAATAACTCGAAAACGAAGCTTCAAACTACATTTTGGATAAGGAAAAAGTTGTTCAGGGTCACCCCAGCAACCCCCCGTTTCCGGATTTTCCCAGAGTTACGGGACACCCTGTATATAAGATGGTTTTACGTAGAAAATTTATTAATTTCAACGACTTTCCTGAGATTACTGTGAAAATTCTGTAAATGTAACATTCTTTTGCAGAACTTTTATGGAAAATATAACACAATAAAGAAAAAGAACAACAGAGACAGAGAAATTTATGCTAATCGCGTGCTTTTCTTTTCTAGATATAAATTAGATCCAGACGAAAACAGCGAGGATGATAATTATTTATTATTAAACGGATCTGTATACGTACCTCATCATAATCCAGTAATGTTGCAACCTGGAGTCGATTATTGCATGGAATTTACCGAAGGATTAGGACTTGAAACCTTCGTATGTTTTCCTAAAGGTAAATTCAGAAAGAAACTTTCACAGTCGGTAATAACTTACGTACTAACTTGTACATAACTAAGTGGAATTATTTGAGGCTTCCGGGTGTAAGCCGTGTCCAAAAGAATTTACATTCCGACGTTTCGCCAGCATTGCAGCTAGCTTCGTCAGGGTCTGGAGACGTACTGGTAATAGCGTACGTCTGGGTGTTCACTCCTTTAACCCCTTAACCTATGATTACTTTTCTGACGATGCATATAAGCGTCAGCCATTTAATGTTTTAGTACTGTATCAGGTAACAAAAGCTTATCTGTTACAGATTAATTACACTTAGGAATCCTTGATCTTACAGATTCAAACGAAAGTTAGGATTACAATGAATTTTTCAGATCTTGACCAGAATCTCTGCCACGAGTTTGACACGTTGTTGTAGGTCAAAGGGTTAAGTACCTGTGCTCATTTTACGGATCAGTGATTCTGTCCAATCGGTGTTTAATTGATCGATTTAACGATTTTTAAGTTCTAACGATTAACTAGTTTCAATATAACAAATATATAAAAATCATTAGTCTTAACACAGGTACTTGAAGGAGCGAACACCCAGACGTACGCTATTATCAGTACGTCTCCAGACCCTGACGAAGCTAGCTGCAATGCTGGGCGAAACGCCGGAATGTAAACTCTTTTGGACACGGCTTACACCCGGAAGCTTCAAATAATTCCACTCAGATCGATCCGAGCCGTGAAAGTCTCAAAGCTCTCGTTGTATGTAACTACATTAACACAATTGTCACAGGTTTCAAAATGATGGTTGCGGACTCTCGAATCACCATCTTTACTTCCGGTCTTTTAATATCCGTGCCATTTTTCATTCTTACCATCGTGACGTACTCCATCACGCCGAAGTTGCGGGACGTTTTTGGAAAAGCACTGTGCCGTTACTGTGGATGTTTAGCGCTTGCCTTTACCATGTTAGCAACCACACAATTATGGAGTGTACACCTGTCGGATCAAGCTTGTACTAGTATAGGTAAGGTGAAGAATTACTTAATATTAAGAAAACTATTACTCATCGCGTCTTTGTGACGAATTGCATGAAAACAATAAATTACTATTCTAGAGGAGTTATTTCAGGTAGACGAGCAAAGTAGTAGGATATTTCTAGAACCTTGTAAAACGAAAACTATCCAAGATACAAGGTGCTGTGAAAAAGTAACCGAACTGGGTTGATAAAAGTTTCATTAATCAACCAACCTAATTTGCTTTAAATTCGTCCTTTCCTGGATTGATACAGCGATCCCAACGCCTCTGCCACGAGTCAAATAACTTTTGGAGATCATTTTCCACAACCGCGTCAAGTACTTGTTGCGATTTAACTTGCACCTCTTCCACAGTGTCAAAACGCCGCCCTTTGAGCTTTGATTTCATTTTCGCTAAATCTGGTGCGCAGCCCATTGCGACTTCTTCCGTTTCCAGAAATGAAATCGAAGCTCAAAGAGCGGCGTTTCGACATTGTGTAGAAGATACAAAATAAATAAAGCAACAAGTGTTCGATGCGGTTGTGGAAAATGATTTCCAAAAATTGTTTGAGGCACGGCAAAGCAAAGCCGATGAGATCGATGTGTCAATGCAAGAAGGGATTATTTCAAAGGGGATGGAAACCAAATTTATGCTGGTTGATTAATAAAGCTTTTATCAATCCAGTCCGGTTCTTTTTTATAGCACCCCGTACTTGTTTGAAATTTTACACATTCGTGTGTACATACATACTTTGTTATCTTACGTGAATTTTTGTACACTTTACTTAGTAAGTGCGTTAGACATAATCTACTTCGTACACAAGTAATTGGGCCGAGTTATAACTTGGTTGTTATTGAAGGTAGGAAAAAGTTTTGTATGGTTTAACAAGCTAGCATCTTGTAATGCAGATTTTCACGAAAGTGCATTGCACTTTTAATTCTACTTTATTATTTTTTTTTTTTTTTGTATGAGTCAATTCCTCGTGCTATTCTGAATAAAAAAGTGTTAGAGTACAATCGCGAGAAACTCAATACTATTCGAAATATTTACCTCTTTTTCCAGCATCTACTTACACGTTTTTCTACACCTTTCATCACATTGTTCAGCTGTTCCTCTACATTTTTTTTCCAACTTCAATAACAACCGAGTTATAACTCCCATAAGTTCGTGCCGAAAGCGAAAAATATTTTAATGAAAATCCAAGGAAATTCTATAGAGACGACTTAATGGTATTACCAGAAAAAGTAGGAGAAACTTGCGGAACGAGAATGCGCTTACGTTTTTTTTTTTTTTTTATCAAATTTAAAGGTTTATTGGAAATATTGATATAAATTATAAAATTCAACACGAACTCATGGGATGACCTGATGTATACAATATGCCTACACGCGAATGAACATTGATACTTTCTTAGATCTTTGCATACTGCCTAATAGAAAATTCTTCAAGGTCAGCACTTACAAGGGAACTTGGGTAACCCGAAATGTCAGAATTTTTTGAAACTTTGTGGGTTTGTAGGGGACCACAAGAGAAGTATCGGGCAATTTTTTTTTGGCCCAATTTCGGTTCTTCGGGGTGAAAACAGCCCTTGAATGAAGATAAGTGTTGCCCTATTTCCCTGTATATCTTCAAAACTATAGTAGATATAAAAAAATGTTTATAATAAAAATTTAATTGCTTTTTATGCCTTATAAGACTGTGCTATTAAATTAATGGAAATTCTTTTTTTAAATAAAAAATCTTCCACTACCGTTGTTGTGAAAAATTTTTAACTTTCTATCGTATCGAAGAATATGTCAAAGAAATGCAGATAAATACCAAATTATCAAAAAAAAGATAAAAAAAATAAATACCAAAGATTCGCACACATATTTGGTATCTGTTAACGCATCGTTCCAAGTGCGACGATGACAACACACAAAGCACGTATCAATTAAAATTATTTAAATATCACATTATCCGATAAGATTAACATATTTATCTGCATTTATTTGACATATTTTTCGATATGATAGAATGATTTTTCACACTGGTAGTGGAAGATTTTTTATTTAAAAACAGAATTTTTATTACTTTAATAGCACAGTTTTATAAGGCATGAAAAGCCATTTAATTTTTATTATAAACATTTTTTTATATCTACTATAGTTTTAAAGATATACAGGGAAATAGGGTAACACTTATCTTCATTCAAGGGCTGTTTTCACCCCGAAGAACCGAAATTGGGCCAAAAAAAAAATTGCCCGATACTTCTCTTGAGGTCCCCTACAAACCCACAAAGTTTCAAAAAAAAATCGGACATATTGGGTTACCGAAGTTCCCTTGTAAGTATCTTCCTATGAACAAACCCAGATAGCACACAACGTCTTAGAGACGTCCATTTTTGATCTGAACGTATTACGACCTGATCTGGACGTCTTGAAGACGTAAGTAAGTACTTGCGAATTATTCGACGTATAAAAGTGACGTCTTCAAGACGTTCACAAGTCGTATGTGTGCTATCTGGTACACGTTTTACGGAATACTATAAGATGATATAACGTAACAAATAATTCCTTTAGAGCGAATTAAAAAACGATTGGCTTTTCCAGCGTTCGTCATCCAGTTCTCCTTCGTCGCATGCTTCTTTTGGCTAAATGTGATGTGCATCGAAATGTGGTTGTTGGTGCGTAGCCACGTGGATCGGGATACGTATACAAGGATGAAGCCAAAGACGTTATTCTTTTGGTACTCGTTATGGTGTTGGGGTCCCTCGGTGATATTTATCCTCGTCTCGATGATCATGGATCTCAGCCCAGCGATACCCGCGACTTACGTCAAGCAGAACTTCGGGAAGGAAAGCTGTTGGTTCAGATGTAAGTTGAGTGGAACTCAAATTTCATGAAATATCCTCACCTATTCGTTTTAACATTACTGCATATGTGTTTAGCACAATTATTTTAACTTAAGTATATACTGGAGATTTGGCATATTTTAATACACTCCATGATTGATAAAATTAAAATTTATAGTGAAAAGTGGGGTCACAAATTGTGCACATTGAAACATTCAGTTGGTAAAAAATTACGAGTAGATTAAATTCTTTGTGTTTCTAAAAACTATGCTTCTACTGATAATTCATTTAATACCTGCTAACGATAAGCGGACATATTCGTTAAAATTTTTTAGGAAGAATGATAATAGTAATTAGCAACTTGTTCTAAGATAATCATTGTTTAAAGTACGATACGAGACAAAATCATTTCGCTTCTGTTTTCGAAAAGTTTAATTTCAGGTTTAATTTAACGATTTCATCAACATTCAATTAGACACCGTTGAACGACCTTGATATTAATTTATGCGTGATTAAAGAAACACGTTTCTTGCCTTATAGAATACCAACTGAAAGGAATAACACTGTATTAGGCAACAATCGTGTAAACTTTGAAACTGTACAGCAATGAGGCAAAGTAAAAATACAATTTTTATTCATTAAATTCTATTCTATCGCTAATCCATAAAAACATTCATGTGGTTGTTACTGCAAACAGTACTTATTTTTTGTTTTCAAAATTGTAATCCAATAAAATTTATTATTCAATTTACAGCGGTCAACGAATCAATGCCGTACTTCTACGTGCCAGTTGGATTGCTCCTTGTCGGAAACGTAATTCTCTTCACTTTAACATTCTGTAAGTTAACTAAATATCAAAAGGATCTCGACCTGAGGCGCCTCGCGAGGAATGAGGAATCAGATCAACAAGATCGAAAATTTCTTCGACGACTAATGAGAAGCACGATCGTCTGTCTCATCATTTTCTTCTTGATGGCTCTCAATTGGACGATGGAACTAATATCCTGGTTCATGAACCGCGACATTGTCGACTGGCCCTCCTTCGACTTTATAAACGTTCTTCAGGGCGTGATTGTTTTTGGTTTGTTTGTTCTGCAAAAACCACCGAGGGACTATGTATGGCACAGGATACAACAAATTCGCGGTATCAATGTGCCGGAACCTGAAGTTGGGAGCATGGAACTCTATCTGCTTCCAATGATGAATGGAAACTCTACACCTAGACAAACGATCATTCCGTAAATATCACTTATTCCCGCGATTCTTCTATCACTTAATCGCGCACAATGAAAGAATTACGAATGAACTATCTGAAAATGCTTGAAGGTTCCTTTAAGAGATGTACAATTTTAGTATAATTAATATTTTCTAAAGCAACAAACTGGTCAAGCGATGGACGTTTGAAGATTCCAACGAATTTATCTTAAAGAAATTTTATCAAATTATTTATTGCACAAGTGAAACGAAACGGTACTTAACATCGTTTTAATAATTCATCGCACGGAACAAATGATGCTATTCGTATCATGTATCACGTGAAAATGTGTTCCGGGCGTCATTTTAATATTTTATTTATTTAAAACGATTTGATTAACAATTGTAAATTGCGACAATAATATGATATCAATGAAAGCTTGATCTTGTACTAGACGTATATACGGCCTTGCATTGCACTGAGTTACCTCTTTAATTACTAACGAAAAAATTATATAAATCAGCGAAGATAGATGCAATATAAATAATTTCAAAAATGTAACTATTTTTAGTCTGTTTGTCTGAAACAGTATCGCAAGCCTTCAAATTCGTTACGAATATTTTCGTGTATTACGATGTATATCCTAGATCTCATAAATCGGAAAAGATTTACAAAATTAACAAATTAGGTTATGTGTAGAAATATTAATAGACCATCGATTTTACGCTTCTACTTAAAACGAATTCTTGCCATTTAGGAATTAATACTTCTTGGGAACGTTTTGATTACATAAATACGCCTACAACTTGTTTTGCAGTGGAATCTGCAAGTTGTGATATTTGTATACCGATTACACAACAAGAGGAAACCGGATAGGTGTATAGTACACGGAATATATACATTCTTTTAAATTTGTACAGTTATCGTCGAAGCGTTCTTAATGATTTTTAGGTATACAATTTCCCCGAGTGCATAAAACGTTGCTAATTATCAACCGTTAGCATTGTCAATTTCGTTTGTCATTTGTGATATATATAGATAAGTACATTACATTACAAAAGTAATTCGAAATATCACCTTTTTAAGCATTTCAATTGGTATTCAGTTTTCGTTCTCCCAAACATGACACAACAATCATTTAGACAAATGCATTTTAATAATATTATATGCCTAATGTCAAATAATATTATATATCTTCTACGAGGTGAATCACGAGAAACAAAACACCTAAATATCTCTGTTAAGATTGAAAATAGCAGAAAATGTCAAAAGAGAAAAGTTGTATTGTTCAAGGGGGACAAATATGATGTTACAAGCAATCTTCTGTTTGATGTTACCTTCAAGATTGTTTACAGGTCACAGATGTGTTTTTAAACGACATTGCTCTCTTGAACAGTCAAACTCTTTGATATTTTCTCCTATCTTCAATCTTAACAGAGGTATGTAGATGTTCTGTTTTTCGTGGCACACCCTGTATACTTTAAAGTAGTTGTGAATTATTTATTTCTATCATAAATAAATTATTTAAATAATACGAAGAGAAATATACTTTGTATTTTGTTGTTTTAGTACTGTAACAGGAATATATTATTTATTGTAAAACTCGTAAGTTATTTATGTATATTTAAATTATCGACTAAATTTATTCTTATGACAGATTTTATTTATTTTTCACGTTTTCTCGAAAGCAAGGGTGAATAACTTCTGACATGTGTAAAAAATATTGTTTCTTTATTTTTATTGATTTTTATATTGCAATGTATATTTGTTCGTTTTTATTTGCATTTTTGTCGTGCTATAAAAATAAAATAGTATAGGTTTGTACAACCAAACCTATTGTTACAATCTTTGCAACAATTGATTAACCAAATTAGAATGTTCCCTAGTAAGCTAATAAAAGTTATTATGTACGAGTATTTTCACGTACAATAGGCGTGAGATTGGTATTCTCTATAAGCTCCGAAACACAAAACAATTAAGCACTAATGCCTTTGGGTAATAACCCGACAGCAAAAACCAGGTACCGAAAGTAACTTTTGAACATTAATCAGAAAAAGTGTCGTGTAAGTTATATCATATGTCCTTAAAATATTTTTTTACGTCATGCCGCTCTTTCTAACATTATTTTATTATTCAGTAGATCAGTTTTATTCAGTTTTATTACCAAAATTTATAAGTACCACTAATTTTATAGGACTATTTATACATGAAAGATTTCATGTATTTAAAAAAATACTTTTAAACATTCCTTAGAAAAATACAATTTCATATAAAAACTCATGTACTTTTAAAATGCTTAAAAGCAATCAACGTACAAAATAAACAGTATCTACCGGATAATAAAATACTTGCTACTTTTTCCTTTTCAAGGCTTTCTAGCAACAATTCTCAGAAAACTTAAACATGTACATTCGTAACTATGACAATACATTACACCGTAAATTCCATTGTAAGTAAACTCTTTGTAGTCCATTTTAATACAACAATTATTTGTTATTCTGCTTGTTCTTCTAACATACAGGATAATTGCAAAATGTAACACAGGGCGCTATTTTTTATATGTAAATAAAAACAAATTATATAAGAAAGTCTAGATGGCTTAATCATATCATCTATTTGTGATGAAACTTTTTACTTCGGGTACAGCAAAACACTGTGTCCCACCGCAATAACCGTAAACATTGCTTGCAAAAGTTGTGTGGTTGCAAAAAAGACATAATATAGTGGTAATAGTTTCTTTATAGGTGGAAGAATAGAGGAAATCTAGAAACCAATTTTGTTTTTATAAAAGAAATGTCTAATTTTTTGTAATTAAATTAGAGTAGCGAATTCTGAGTACAAAAGTACTAACGGTACATTTATCTTAAAACTCACCGTTCCTAAGATATTCGACTTTGTCCATCCGATTACTTTCATTATGAAACATGTTCAAAGCTATGCTCAGTACATCAAATGCAAACAAATAGTAAATAGCAAATAAAGTAAAATGACATAATTCAACTTTCATCGCTCAGTAAAGCTCCATACAGTGATCACAAGCTTTCAATATGAAATTTTCAATCAAAAAACGAGTAGACATGCTCCTTATTTATGGAGAAAGTATAAAAAATTTAATTCGGCCACAAGCTTTGTATGCTGGAAGATATCCAAAACACACGTGTTCTTCACACCAGATGTTCGAAAAATTATGTCAAATATTGAGAGGAACCAGAATTCTCCTTGTTTATAGGAGTAGTCATAAAAACTCTGAAACTAGTGGAGACAATGAAATTAATGTTCTTGCAATGGTGAATCATGACCTACAGATTAATCTATGACAGATTAAACATCAATCTGGGATCAGCAGAAATAGTGTGTAACAAATTCTCATTCATCCCAAATTTCATCTGTATTATAACAACCTTTACTAGAACTTACATAGCATGAATTTTGTGAATCACGTTAGATGTTGTGTACGAGCTCAAAAGCAGTTGCTACAAGTTGATTCTAACTTCTTGTCTTTGATATTATTCACAGATGAAGTTACTTTCACTAACAGTGGAAGTGTTAATTTACATAATATACGCTATACGTCAATTAAGAATCCTCAATAGCTACAATAAATTAAACATCATAGAATATCTCAAAAATTGTGAGTTAGAGGATAAATAATACCTTAGCACCTTTATATTGAGAATTCGCTGTTCTATCGAATTTGACTATACAAAATTTGACAGTCCATTTAAAAAAAAAAAAAAAAAGAACTGAGCCCCACACCTCCTTTACGCTTTCACCTATAAAAAAAAACAATTGATATCATGTTGTTTTTCTTGCAACCATACAGCTTTTATAATAAATTTTTTTTGCTTTTTACTTGAAGTAATGGAGATATTTGAGGTGGACAGAATTAGTGGGACACCCTATGTATAAAACGAATGAATAATTAAAAGTTAAAAATTAAATAATAAGCAAGTTATTTAATACTTTATGCAAAAAAATTGTAGTGAAAAGAATATTTAAAATATAATAGAAGAAGTTAAAAAGTATTCAGCTTTTGAAATGCATATTATACTGGGTGATTCTAGCAACTAGACCAGGCTATAGCTCCATTCCAAGTGAAGTTAGAAAAAAATCGTAGAGGAAAGCATTGCACTGTTTAACAAGTTCTATCATCCTGTGGTACGATTTTTTTGCGAAAGTGCATCGGTGCATTTACAAAGTAGAACTACACATCCTTTCAAACAGAACCACACAATTTTATTTGCATAAATTAACTTTTGAAGTCATTCTACGAATGAAAGGTATAATATAAGGTAATTGAAAATTCAGTACTTTACGAGATATTTCTCTTTTTTCGAAAATTTACAGCAAGCATTCAAATGTTTCACCATTACATTTTAAACATTCGCGGAAGTACTCCAAAAGTCAACTTATGCAAAGTAACATATACAGGGTAGTCCAATAAGAATTAGCACTTGAATATCTCCGTTGTTTTTGGAGACATGAAAAAGTTTCATTAACAAAAGTTGTTCAGTATAGAGGGGGCTATAATAAGGCAGTAATACTTTTTCTGCAGCTGGAGGAGTTTCAGAGATTTTAAGGTCACTTCCACTTTTTTAAATGAAATTGTATATTTTTTTATGCATCAGTTGATGCAGTTCGACATTTTCTATAAAAAATTATTAACCTATGTACAGTAGTGCACACATAAGCGTCCGCACTTTTGCACACTTAAGTGTCTGTCGCTATCCCCACCAATTCTTGGAAATGGGACATGGGAGTGGAGTTCGAGCGTGCCGAGTGAAACAAAGTAATTCGATATCGACTCCTGAATGTGAACAACTGACACTTGATATATCCATATCCCACTCAGGCACATCTCTCTTTTGTTTAGTTAAATTCGTAGAAGTCACCTCCCCACTTAAGCTTATAGTGTACGCTTATGTGTACACTACTGTATGTCGAAAAATGATTAGTTTAGGAGATATTTTACCTTTAATTTTGTAGAACCCTTTAGATCTTTTGTTTCCCATACTTTTGTGTTTATCAGCTGATAGCAACTCTCAAGACGAATACAGATATCGTTACAAGGTCAGTCAAGGTCATAAGAAGACGATTACATTATAAACTTACTTCTTCTAGATGTTTTGTTCAAAATGTCACTTGACTAAATCAATTGCACATTGAATCATTTCAGAATTTATTGAGGTACATGCTGCAATAATTCTTTGCTTCATGTCCTCTGGTGTTGTTGGTGGCTCTTCATATACCTTGTCCGTCAATGTCCTCCGCAGGAAGAAATCAAGGGGTATTAGATCCGGAGATCAAGCTGGCCATCGTACAGGCCCTCCGCGTCAAACCCAACGGTTTGAAAATTTTGTATCTAATTCATTTCGGGCGAGAATAATGAGTGCTGGGCACCCATCGTGCTGGTACCACATTATAACCCCCTCTATACTGAACAACTTTTGTTAATGAAATTTTTTCATATCTCCAAAAACAACGGAGATATTCAAGTGCTAATTCTTATTGGACAACCCTGTATGGTTTCATTAAAAGTAAAGTGCAGTTGCACTTTGCAAGTGCTTGTTCTTATTTCGACAATTATCCTGTAAGTTAATTCAAAGTGTTAAAAATTTTTAATACATAACTTAAAAATTTAAAAATACTGGATGTTTCATAACCACAGATAGAAAGTTTTTTGTAAATAGCTGCTCTAAATTAAGATAAAAAAAAGTGTTGGACCTCAAAGAGTTACATTTAAATAAGACTACTTATAATGATTCAATAAAGCCATATAACGTTTACGTGAATTTAACAATTAAACACACGCATAAAGTGCAACGTCCTATCGATATGCTTAGAATTTATAATAAGCAGAAATTTCTGGTTATCGTGATTATGTCGCACGAAACCTATTTGTCAAGTATGTCTGTGGTGTCCTGGAAACGGAGGACTAATGCCTAAAATTCCAATAAAATTTCCTCGTTGGGCAACATAGACCAACTGATACATTCCTGGAGATCGAATGGCCGTATCACTGAAGTAAATTCTCTCGCTAATCGCATGGGGTTCAAAGGAAACCGGAGACGATTTACCTAACATAAACAATTATCATACACTCGTCACAATAACCATGTTGTATACAAAATGAAAACAATAAGTTTAAGGAACTGTAAGAAAGTGATATCTCACCTCGGCCTACGTATTCATACACAATATATTCGTCTAAACTAGAAAATTTATTATGAAATAGTCCCACCCAGTCTCCACTAGCAGGCCTAGCATCTCCCAATAACCTATATGCTACTGAATTTTCCTCATCTATAAACCAGGATGATACAGGTTGAAACTCTACACCGTGATCTTCAATATTTGGTCTGACCTGTAAAAGTGATAAATTTTTTGTAATACAAATTTCATTAAATTTATTTGTCATAAATTGTTATCATTTTTTATGGTCTACAAAAAAAATCTTACAATAATATCAAATTCTCCTGTAACTGGTTTATGGTCCGATTGTATGTAATTGGAATGACTTTTATAACTTTTCTGAATAGCGTTCAACTTAACGTCATCATAAACATCTGTATTTACTCTGTACAAAATTCTATCAGTCCATGACGGTCGACGCCTGAGTGACAAATTTTGACTTAGAAAAAAATATCACAAAAACATTATAAACATAACAAATTATAAAACTTACTTGAGATCAAATGCTTGAGAATGAAATTCGTACTTATAAGTTGGAGGGAATGTAATAGAATTTTCATGCAATTCTGCAAAAGCTTCACCTTTTTCCATTACCATCTTCAATTGATCTCTTGTTAACAAGGATTTTAGTTGATCCTTCTTAACTAATATATCAATATCTGTTGCAGTTAAGTCCTCACCATGTAGTCGAAAATTTAAGTCCCCAATCCAAAATACATAACTATACAGAAATTGTTACTATTGTAGATGTACACGGAGATTAAATTAATCAATTAGAAGATACTAACTCATGAAATAATATCTTCGAAGTATCTGGATTATTAAAACTATGATTTGTGAGTATTGTATTATAGTCTGCAATTCTATCAGTCAATAAATGATCATGTGGTGTCAAGTGTGTATTGACAATACACATGTTAATTCCATATATGTTCAATCTTATACTAACTGCACCTTTATTGCCCTGAAAGAAGCACAGATAAAGACAAATTAAAAAGACATTCTGTATAATTAAAATTTTCTCTTACCCACATGCCTCTACATCCTGTCCGTGTATATTGAGCCTCTATTAATCTTAAATGTGTAATATGTTTTCTTAAACAAAAAACATTTAAAACAAGACCCTGTAAACGCTGTGTATGTATCTTTACATAGTCATATTTTTTTAACACTTCTCTGTAAATATTGTATAAAATAAATATTTTATCGAAGTACAAATTAATACAGTAATTAATAGTTTTTACAAATTTAATTATTAGTTTAAATATAGAGTTCAGTTTTCCACTCTAATACTTTGAATTGTTTTATATATATATACCTGAAAGATTTGCTCCATGGATCTTCAAAGAGCATGTTCATTACCATATTTTGTGGTTGAGCATTTACTTCCTGCAATCTAATATAATGTTTAATTTGATTATTTTATATACAATATATAATTCTATGTAAATTATACATACCCAACAAAGTATAAGTCTGGCAAAGTTTTTGATTTATTAGTATTTGTTACATCAAGAAGTTGATGTAAATCTTCTTCAGGATGTTTAGTTGCCACATTCCATGTAACGTTAAATATAAAATGAAAATGTATTGTTATTTTGTAATCAGAATTTTACTTCATAATTTAAGTATAAACTATAAGACATTAAGGTAAAAATTTTATATCTATATTCCAAAGATAAGCAATTAAACTATACCAGTATGTTCTATGAGAAAAAGGAAGAAAAACAAGTTGTATAAATATGAATATGAAAACACTATATTAAAATGTTATAACAAAAATGTAAATCATAACAACAATGGATTTGCTGTTGATACATTCCTATGTAAATTAACAATGTTTATCTAATCAATTTATTTTAGCTATGTTTATAATTTGAAATCACCGAAAGTTCTTATTATCATGTTAAATTATCATGTTTAGAAAAGAAAAAAGAAAAGAAACTCATTTAATTTTCTATTTTAAAGTATTGTCTTTAATATTTAATATAAGCATTACACATATGAGATATTAAATTAAATATCCAACATATGTCATGTCCCTTGCATTTGTTCAATAAATGCATTACTGCCCTTTCTTATGTTTCTCCCCTTTTTCCTATCCTTACATTAACATTTATTATCATACAATTTTTTTATTAATATTCATAGAACATACTGACACATACGCATGTACATTTTTCTTAATTTTAAAATAACTTTAAATAAAAACTGGACATATGGATAAAGATATTTCTACTTACCTAAGATACTTCTCTCTATCAGCCATAGCTAAGATAGAATAATATAAAAGTTTAAAAGGGTTTTAGAAAATTATACTACACTTTGTTGACATCTGGGGTCAAGTTATACTACAGTGACTATGCAGTGTTCTTCAATAGACTTTGGGGTTAAGAAATAATGCAAGAAATGCCAATGGCTGGCTAAATAAATTTTCAGCTGTAAATTTTCATTGAAGTATTGTCAATAGATTTTCTAAGGGGAAGATTCACAGAAATTAAGTTGCTTTTATATTAAAACACATTAAAGCAACTGTATAGTGAATTGACAGCTGAAAAAGCACTCCCCCTTCTCCTAAAATCAACCAAATACATCAAGAAAGCAATCTGTCGTTTACCGTCATTGAGTGTACACATCTACGCAAATATACAACCGTCTATGGACAGTAGTGTAGTAAGTTTAAATAATGCCTTGAACTCCTTTAGAGATTCAATTCAATTTTCTAATTAATCGAATTTTAAAAAAAAGGTATAAAAATAAGAAATTTTCTAAATGTGAAACACTGTCTTTAATATTTACACTTTCCTAACTCTTTTATTTTATAATTTAAAGTGCATTAGCATGACTATCTGCAATTCAATTAACAAATAAAACATTTAACTTATTCAACATAAAAATGAATACAATTTGTATCGAAAATATTCGAACTTCTATGACTTTAATTTATATATTCTTTGCCTTAAATATGTATACGACAAATTAGAAAATTTCTTTAAGTTGTGATATAATTTCTACTAAATAAAAATAAACAAAACTACTTATTTATTGTATTCAATTATTCAAATAATAAAAATAAAACAGAAAAATAGCTAATTTTCAAGTCACAAAAATATTCAAATATTTTACAAAGTAAAACTTCATCCCGTGTTTCGATGAAACTAATTCATGCATGGACAACTGCTGCTCATACGGGTAAAATTTTCGACAGCACGGTGGTGGGAACGCTGTAGTGGTGTACGTTATAGGCCCGTACATTGCGCCTGACTTATTTAGGGTACTCGTGGGGCCAATTATTAAACGTCAAACTATTTTGTTAAAAAGTATTTAACCCTTGTGCACTATTCTGGTCAATTTGACCTGAAATCGAACTTTGGCATTAAATAACTTATTGGCAAAATGCCCGATTTATATGAAATTTTGTTACTTTAATGAATACTATTTGAAGAATATGTCAGGCAAGGAAACTTCAAAAAACAAAAGGATACGATGTAAAACTGAATCATCTATTCAACTTGTAATATCATAAAAGGCAAGCACAGCATTACTACATATGTATGCGATATCCAGATGTCATTAAATAAAATCTGCATTTAACTTATTCATTGAAAATAATATCACAAATGTAATTATCACCATGTAAAACCAAAAATAAGTTAGAAACGACATCGTTGTTCAAAAACAGACAAAAACAGTTTGCTCTGTATACAAAAATCATATAATGTAAAAGATATTCTATTATCGTTTGTAACAGATGTATAAATAAATTTTAGTTTATATTTATTATAATTTAGTTTTAGATTAATACCTTGATTCAGTTTAAGTTTGCTGTGAAATAATTTTTAGCATAAAAGCAAAGCAAGCAAGATCATAATATTAAAGAGTTATTTATTTTTCCTTTATACATATAAGCGTAATACATAAATTTTATGTAATTACTTGTTTTATAATTGTAATAAATCATTTATTATGAATGGAGATCAGATTTACTGAAATATTCGAATATTTTTCCGATGCTGATCCATTTGACTCGAATAGCTCTAGTGTAGCAATTATTTTAACAGTGCACAAGAGTTAATAAAGCGTAATATTTTTTTAATGTATTCTCTTTTTCAATTATTATAAATTTTAATGCATTTCGTTAGTGTTAACCGATTTTACTAACCATTTCAGTTATTTTAATTATGAGTTATTATTCTGAAAATATGATTTAGCGTTGTTGTTTGTTGCATATTAAAGTATTTATAATTTTCATAATAAATACTTCAAATTTCGCCAAAATTACAGATATTCCTTCATTCCTTTAAGCAATACTAACTTCTTATTTTCTGCTGCATGGGATTTCTGAAAGACAACAAAATAGTTGGCGACATAAAAACACCAGTAAACATTTTTTGAGTGTTTGCCTGTTTTTTTATATACTTCACAGCAGAAGGTAATGAGGTTAGGTAATGCAGAGGCAAAAGTGACCTTCCTTCTCACAGACAGTCTGCCGTTTATCCAGTTTATGATAAGTCAATCAATATTGAGAAACAGAGATAATCTCCAAACGTTCCACATTGTAATTGAATTATAGAGTCTTTTCTGTTCATAAATGAAGTAACCCTCCGTAGGCAAACATACTTTTTCACATTCCGTAGGCAAACTTGGTAATTTGTGACCAAGTCTAATTTTTTTTACTGTTTTAAGCTTTCAAAGAGTCTGAAAACATTCTGGAATTCTCATCAAAGTCTCTATCACATTATACAATTGTTCGTTAAGTCAAATGTTCAAAATTTTTTTCAATAGAAATAAAAATTCGTTTCGAAGAAATACGGGAGTAAACACTTGGGTCGTCAAAGACACAGATTACCTACGGAGGGTTTTAAGGCTACGAAGTTGCAAAAAGCATATTAAAAATGTAACATATACACCACAAAAGCAAACGGTGTCCGCAACATGTTAATTTTCGTTTTAAAAGAACAAATTGTTGATGACCTTAAATTTTTTCTTAGTTCATAGTTTTTAGTTTTTCTAGGTAATAGTTTCTTCTTTACCTATTAGCTAACAAGCATTGAGACGAATTCAACGACCACAATATAATACATTTCATTATATACATATAAAATTTATACATATATAAAAACATTAAACGTGATCTTGAACATTTATATAAAAAAAGGACATAGAGAAAATTTAAAGTCACTATCTTGAAGATCCTTTGAAACCTTATCCTCTATGACCAAACAAATTTAGAGCGGTCTACTAATAATGAAAATAATTGAGGTTAGGTGAACCACCCTGTATATGTAAGTAGTTATTATGTCAGCTGTTCGCTATGTATTTTTATATTATTATTATAATACATATTTTTATAAATGTTTAAATACAGTTCTATTATATTCTATATATCTGACAATGAGTTTTTTAGTTCAATAGTATTCAGCTTTTACAAGTAAAACGTATTAACGTAATTTGTAACATGTTTCCTAGATACGCTTGATTTTAATATACTTTTCTGTGTAACTAAAATATGGATTCTATTGCACCCCATTTATAGGTGGTCTTGCTACTTCCATGCGACGCATAGATTGCCTCACCGTGGAATTCCCCTACGAGGTGGGGAGGATTGCCAGCGCGCAGGCTTGCATTACCTGTGCCTGCTATAGAGTACGTTTGACTGGCGAGCCTTCATATTTTACTAATATTTAGTTGAATTCCTCTTATTTTTTATTGCACGCTTTAAACGTATTATCATTTTAAAAGTCATTCTTTTTCAAGTATGCGATATTAATACACTACTATTTTGTTAAAAGGTGTCTTTTTTTATTTATGAAGATTTTACGAATTCTCCAGTTTAATTCCTCTCATCGATAAGATTTAGGCACACAAATTGTGGCGGTGGTTTGAGAACTCTTGCGGTATTATCTAGAAAAAATTATTACATAATAAGTGTCTTATGCTTTGAACTATTGCTTCAGTAAAATTTGAATCTTTCCAAATACTCATGATAGTAGCACTTTCCATTAAACTGTTCAGAATGTTTTCAAAGGATACCAATTCATTTACTTCCTGGAGACAATTTATTTACACATTATTACTACACAAAATATTATCACAAAGTATTATCACAAAATAATACCGCTCCACCATTTAATTTATTTCAAATATAACTTTTTGTAAATACTAGTCCCCTATTCCCATTTACCTCATTTATGTAGTACTTCTTTCTAAATATTTGTCCACCCTAACTTTCTTCTCGAGGAATTGTTGTGCAACTCTGTTGCTAGTATTGTAACACTATCTCCATGGATTTTTCTTAATTTTCGATAAATTTGTACGGGATTTGTACGCAGATTGAAAAGTGTATCCCCACTTTACAATTCAGATAGTTTATGCAGATATTAAATTTTCAACATTCTCTCACATTTATTACAGAGCTCAAGTGTTGCGTTTATAAACCTCGCCTTTGTTACTTTCTTCAAATCAGAAATTAATTGAATATAACAAATGAGTGTTAGAATATTTTTGTATCTTGAAAATTAACCACTACCTTGCTTTTGACTTTTTATTTAAATGCCCGTATGCAATAAACAAGTTCTTTCAATTTTATTTATCGGAAACTACAGCTTGTCGCAGCATAACAAGATTCTTCTCTTCATTGTACGGTCAAATATTTTCTTGACAGATCACATATCGATAAATTTAACTACATCAAGGGGGGAATTATTGAAAATGTAAGTAACACTGTAATATAAAACGCTGGTACCTGGAGTTCTCCAAAATTTTCTTCAGAACTTTAGTTTGTTTGCCTTCGGATGGTTATTAAAAGTATCGGACTAATTAAACTGAATCGTTCACTATACTGCGCAGTCTGCAAATTAACAAGTATACCACAATAAACTAATCAGTGCGGCAATCAGTTATTGATAAGAATAAGGTTGAGCTGTGCATGAAACCCAGTGTACAAACATTTCTCGTTGTTATCGTTTAACTTACAACTCCTGGAGCGACGTTTAATATGAGAAGCTGAAACAACTGTTAACATAAAAGAATTAAGAAATAATAATAATAGTAATAAAAAGCAATACATTGTTATACATGGATGACATTAAACTATACGCGACCTCAAATGAAATCACTCCTCAAGATCACAGAAGCAATAACCAAAGACATCTGCATGGAATTCGGTATACAAAGATGTAAAATGTTGTATATAGAAAAAGGAACATGTAAAGCGATGACAGAAACAGAAACACTTAACAATGAAGTAACAGATAACACGACACAGACAGAAACATATAAATATCTTGGCTTCAAACAAAACACAAAACTAGACCACAAGGCAATCGGGACAGTACTTACGAAACAATATGTAACACGACTGAAACAAGTGTAATACTAACTTCCAAACGAAACAGTATCAATCCTAGCATACTCGTTTGGCATAATAAAATGGATCGACACAAATCTAGACGAACTAAACAGAGTTACAACGACAACCATGATCAAATACAAGAACTATCATCCTAAAAATATGTACAGAGAGACTTTACCTTTCAAGAGAAATAGGAAAAAGAGGAATAATAGACATTAAAACACTCCGCAACACTGCACAATAGTTTCACTCAATAGCAACAGTTCCACACACAACGCAATCAATAAAGCAGACAATAACTATACACCCCTTAACCTTCACTCAAACATACAAACGGAGCACTACACCTAGAACATAGTGCTCATCAATACATGGCCTGCAAAGCAGTATACGGGAAACACGCAGTCTGTATCACAATAGCGTGGACACGATAATTGCGAGACTTGATGTCTAACGAGAGGGAGATTGCGTTAATATAAACATACGCAACCTTCCTCGATACACGTTGACCTAAAATCTCTCAGTATCGTTTTTATCACTGAGAAATGCAGACGTTTTCGAGATGAGTGCCGCGTACGCTAAACGTTTTCAAGCGGTCTTCTTGTGTCGTCACCCGAAAGGACCAAAAATGAGCGTTAGAGATGCGGCAAAATATCTGCGTAAATCTCGCGAATTCGTCAATAAGTGGGTACAACGATATAAAGAAACTAAGTGTGTCGATGACCACCCTGATCGAGGTTCAAAGCGGGCTGCTGCAAGAAGAGAAGATAAAGTGATCTTCCGGCTTTTTTCAAAGAATCCAACATTTTTCTTGCGTAAAGGGCAAGCTTCCGTGGCAACAAAGGGCATAAATATTGGTATTTTAATATTGAAACGTCGCTTGGAAGAAAATAACGTTGCATGGCGTATGCAGAACCTAACCAAAATCGCTGCTTTCAAGAAAGAACGTCGAAAATTTGCTGGCGTGGGCACACGAAAGTGTTGATCGCGATTGGGGCGATGGTCTGCAAAAACAGTACCCGGGAAACATAGTAAAAGATCTCTGTCTCAAAGAAAAAACAAGGTCTCATCTATCCAGAAACAGAAGGAATCGCAATAGCCATCCAAGACCAAGTAACAAACGCAAGAAACTACAGAAAATGCATCATGAGAGATAACGCATTAACAATAGACAAATAGAGAAAATACATCATCTACACAGAAATAATAGACCATATTACATCAAGACGTAAACTGTCAGCAGCAGATTACACCGACAGACACGACAATGTAGAAAGCATGATACACATTGCACTCATTCACAAATACAAACACGCAAACACCATACAACTCTACTACAAATATCAGGTCATCCCATAAGTAATGTCGTTTTAGAAGCCTAGGTTCGATACAAAAATAATAGCATTTACACTTACTGTTAATCGATAATATATGTTGACTATTGTTTGCGAGGATCATTTGCCATTTTTCAGGCAACTTCTTAGTATTCTTTTCAGAACAATTCCTATCTTTTGGATTTAAAAAATGTGATCTAATGTTAACCCCTTAACATATAACAACGTGTCAGACTCGTGGCAGGTGAAGATGTGACAAAAATCGTTATATTAGTAAGAAAAATTCTTAGACTTAGGATTACGAAGTGTAATTAATTTGTGACAGACTAGTTTTTGTTACCTGATACAGTACTAAAATACAAAATGGCTGACGCTTAGATGCATAGTCAGAAAAGAAATCATAGGTTAAGGGGTTAACTTTAAACGATGTGCATTTTTGAAGTTTCTGCCATTTAAAAAGTTTTCTAATTAACGAAATAGATCAGATTCAACTTAATTCCCAGTTCAATTCCTTAATTTCTTCTAGTTTTCTTTCTCAAATCTCATCATTCAGCAACATGATATGGATCAATGGAAAAGAACTGTCACGCTCCACATTTTCAAACACGCTACACGAATTTACCAAATGTACTTCCACAGATTGTAAATTATATCTAGGGAAAATAAATAAAAAAACAGTTTTCTATTTAACAGGTACGAATATCAAACCAAGATAAGAAGCGACATTACTTATGGGATGAGCTAATACATATACACCGCGATAAGTCATAGAAAATACAAGGCAGAAGATATACTGAGACAATCTCACATTAACAGATAAAACAATCGCAGCTAATATACTAGACATTACACTAATTGACAAAATAAATAAAGCAACATACCTCATAGACATAGTCGTACCAAGCGACCAACGTGCCCAAATATACGGAGGAAATGGAAAAATTTACACCACTGGCATAGGAAATTAAAAGAATATGGAAACAAAACAAACTGACAATAATACCGCTTATATTAGTCACAGATATCACTCCACAAACATTCACACTAAACTTACAGCTACTAGAGCTACCAACACACATCCACGCACGCATACTAAACACAACAATAATAGTGAGACAATTTTTGCAATAATTACACAAATATGAACTTGGCATATCCTATTCATATTAGCTAAAACCAGAATACGGTGCTTGCGAGATAATGTTAGTCGAGTTTCTGGCCAAAAAGGCGCGAGCGAACATCGAAAATGAGCCGTTTATAAGCCACAGTGGTTAACTCCATTTTTTAAATAAATTTCCTTAATAATCAGGCTTAACACCACTAAATGACAAAAATTTTTGAGACCGTCGAATAATAAATAATTTATGCCAAAAGTCAATGTGATTAATTCCACACTCTAAAGTAAATCGTTGCAATGATGTAATTCACACGCTGATAAGAATTTAGCTAACAATAAGTAATTTTGTAATGCAACGGTCTAAAAAATATTAATATTTATATTTCATGTATATAATTTCATCAATTTTCTCTGCTTTTCGTTTTGTGAAGTTAACCGATTTGGCGAATGTTGCTCGAGTTGCTCTCCCATAAATCCGGTCGTCTTTCACGAATCGAATCGTGCAGACGCCTCATAACACCCAAGTAGTACTGTTTATTGACTCTTTGACCAATCTAATCGGTAGGAATTCTTTCTGTACCACAATCGATGAACGAGTTTGCCCTGGAATTTTGGATAGAGTACGACGTAAAATATACTCTTAGTCATATTTTCAAATGACACATTTTCGTTCGAAAATTACAGTTTTTCTAAAAAATCACGTCACTCTTTAAATATACATAATAGGAAACAGAATTATGCATATTAAATGAAATCAATTTTTTTACCTTCAATTTAGAAATCATTAATTCCTAAAACAAACGTTGTTCAACTATTATCAGCGCACGTGTTAATTATGGCTGTTCATGTGAGTATTTCTGAAATCCTAAAAATTAAAGTTACTATAAAAGAGAAAGAAAGCGTGTAAAAAATGTATTATACATTTATTATAATTCCTTGCAAAATTCGTCTTCAGTTGCTACAGTTTGATTTCTTATCAGAAAACAGTTGAGTGTAACCTCTACAATGAGAAGTTGATAAAAAAAAAAAAGAAAGAAGAGAAATAAGATCTCGAACGCAGTTTGTACGTGATATTATTTACAGCAATAAGGGAAACGTACAAAAAGTAAAGTCTGTTGTTATGTGATTATCTAATCTACGAATGCAGACAAATAGTTCTTTTATCGAACGCACAGACTTTCGCTCGAAAGTGTTTCCAAAGAATTATCAATACATCATCCCTGGATGAGCTGCTCGTTGAAAAAATACATTCGGATTCGCCGATAGCGTTGTGTATAGATTTCCCGCGTCTTCTGGCCTTAAATACATGCCTGGTGGTAAAACAAACGTCTCCATCGGACCGTGAACATCTGGAAAATATATTTGCTTTTTAATTAACTCCCATCGTAAACCGTAATGATATCGTTCATTATTAAATAGACAATCCGTATGTTTATTTATTACATCTATAATTAACGCAAAAACTACCCTACTAGCTAAGAGGTGCATATTTGATCTCATGGCTTGCATTCTCTGTGTTCTACGAATTCTTTATTAGTATTGTTCGGTATTCGTGAAATTCTGAAATTTATTCCAATTACATACTTGGTGATTGAAATCTACAGATCTACAATTTGCACGACTGAAGGGCTCGGTGCAAGAACCGGTCAGCTCCATTATTGGAAACTTTACAGTTTCGTACTAAACTTTTTATAAAAATTATTTATACGTGCAAAGATTGTATTAATAATACATTTTTCGCGAGAAATAGTTTGATTGGTAGTGGTAGTTTTAGTAAAATTTCTATTTTCTTCAGTGGAGCTGTCCGTGTCTTGCACCGAAATTAAAAATTGGCAAATAAAAATCTCCAAACGCAGCTTATCAATAAGCATACAAATAACGAAGATTATAAATTTTCTCGTAGTTTCTGAATCTAAAGGACCCCTAGTATTAGTTACGATGTTGTCTAATGAAAAAACATCTTCTAATTGTTTTTGTTCAATTGATAACGGGTATTGCGTATACATCTTCTCCATTGGTAAGGAAGAAATAGCTCAACTTTTCTTTTTAGACGAAATTCCAAAAAACTTAAATCAGTTTTAATAAAATTTATTTTTTCTTCGATGAAGCTGGCCGATTTTCGTACCGAACTCTTCAATTCTTGCAGCTAGCAATGCGGAATAAAGTAGAATTGCAGCTACATGAAAAGTCTATTTTCACCAAAAAACAGAGCTGACCGGTTCTTGCACCGAACCCTTCAATTCTATTCGTGTTTTGCTTGAATGTCAGAATAACTTGGTAATTTCATTGAATATCCTTTTTTGCCTACTTTGCAATTCTGTTTTTGATTACAGATATCTTAGAAAATTTGCACGCCGATACTTGGTATTAACCCCAAACTGCATATTTTCTGTGGCAATGAAACGAAAATTCCTATACTAGTGCATTACTTTTTCAAACGTGCTTAACGAACCTATCAAGTGAGCTAAAGTTTGTTCTCTCTGCTTGCCATCTATCGAAACTTGTTATTATTCCAACATCCGGAAACGATGAAAGCACCGCGATTACAGTTATCGAGTTATTTCGAGATATCTTCACTTGCACATCAATTTTGGTATCTTAGTTCTGTAGTTTCATAGTTTCAAATTGTTATTCCAATGCATATTCATTTTTATCCTACCAAGTTAATTGCAAATAATTTTGGTGTAAATATAATTATTAATTCATATGCTACAACAGTTCGTTATAAATATTAATGAACAAACGTGGAATGAATAATGAAAATGTGAAAGAACATTTTTAGCAAATGAATCGTCAATTAAAATTCAGTGCACTGTGATTAGAAGAACAATAGTAATTTTTATAACTTTGATCAAAATTCTTTATACATTTTGTAATCATAATATTGCACAAGAATAGTCGCAAGATAGTAGTAAATTATATTTATCGCTGATTATTTGAGCAAAGCGATATTACTTTACTTTTGTATGCAGAATATTATATTATAATTTTTGGAAGGATTACGCGTAAAAGGCCAACATGAAATTTCCATTAATTGACGACATAATTACTCTATAAGTGTAATCGCACTTCAAAGAAGATCACAGAGTTCCAATTAATTTCATTGCAAATCTCTAAAATGGAACCACCAGAATCAGCTGATAAAAACAGAAAGTAACGGGCCAACGATTTCCAGTAAGATGCAAATTTTTGAAACTGCCAGCTGATTTAAGAGAATCATAGTAATTCTTTGATGGTACGTTATTACGGTCACGCTTGTCCTAATACAGAAATATGGAAAACAAATATCGTTGCAGTAACGAAACTCATGCATGCCTAAAAAAATTTTTTCCCTAGATTAATTAAAAAATATATGGTACTGAAAATTAACGCTATTATCTGTCTGAATTCGTCATGGATACTGGTTATTTAAACTTTTGCTCATTCCGTTGATCACAAAGGCATGAGAAGGTACCGTTGCTCGAATAGTTTCTTAGGAAATAAAATGAAAGAAAAGTATGTTTCTCCGGAAATTTCAATCGATCCTTCTTACCTGTAAAGAACCTATTTGCAAACTTAATCGAAAGATCATAAAGCGACGTAGCTGGATGTTATGGTGTATAACTACAACCGGTGTCATAAACGAACGGATGATTTATGCCTTGCAGGATAGTGACCTTTGCTTCGCAATTTCTAATATTATATTCCACACCCAACTCCTAATGAGAAACATTACGGAAAAGAGGTGTATTATGAAACGAACAAAATCCGGCCAAATGTTTTTCCCACCGAAACACGCAATCTTCTTTGCTCGAGAAAGCATATTTACTGAGGTGTCAATTTGTTGTCCCTCACAGTCCTCTTACCAGAAGACCATCGTCTTCCCCAATCCGTGGCCAGACACTTCGCGAACAATATTCTTATTTTTAAAGCAATGTAAATCCTTATATGTAATCTTTTTTAGGTGTCTTATATTTAATAGATATAGTAAATATCTATTTATTATTTATAGGGAGGGCGTAATTATGTGTGTATGTACATATGTGTGGAATTTCTTATTAAGTAACTAGATATACACCGAATTATACCGTGTTTGGTCTCATTTTAATCAGAAAAATAAAATGGATATGTCAGTAAAATTTTTATCAGCAAAACACAAAAAAGTTTTTCTTTTGTATTAGTGTTGTCTCACCGATATGTAGGTGTTTGATATTTTAGGACTGGCTCGAGTTTCAATACCTCTCTCTTTTTTGTCTGCTGTCTCTTTCTGCGTCCGTAAATGTCGGTAAAATACAAACAGTTTGAAGAATCTAGTACCTATCCCGTAACTGTTTCACAGCGGTCCCGACTTTGGAACTCTTATAGAACTTCTACTGTACTACACGAGAATACACTTCTACCATTCGGAAATAGATAAACTAACCTTTGCTTCTTTTAAGTCATTTGTACGTATAGATCGATATCGACGAAATAAATGTTATTCGAAAACGGAAGTTCGTATATACCTTAACGAAAGAAGAGGTTCAATCAGTCACAAGCAACAGGTCACCGATTAACTAGCGTCGTCTAGTATAACGGGATTCCCCTTCCACTTTAATTCACGGAGGAGTACTTGACCTCCGTCACGAAACTTTCTCCCTCTCCACCTTTTCAGTAGGAGGTTTTTCCTCCTTTTCGTTCGTTGCTCGAGGTGAAGGTCGCCGGAGGCGATGTCATAATGGAAGAGAAGTTTGGAAGGGGAATTTACCGAGAAAACGTATCCAGAAATTTCTAGGACCGCTTTAACAACCGTGTTAGTATTATTGTTTCCTCGATACTATTGGATGTTCAAATTATTATTATACCGTCGTTTGGCACGAAAAATACACTCGCTGTGCTTGCTTCAGCTGGCAGGGGCGCATTTATACTTCCGGAGGCCCTAGGCGCAACACGATTACGAGGCCTCAAGGGAGCAAGTCTATTTCAGTTAATCAAATTCATAAATTTGACGTTCCCGTTTTCAGCGGTCTCTTGTTTTTACATTGTGAATTTTATTGTTTAAAAGTAAGTATTTCGTTTTGCAACTACAGCTACGTAGACTGTTTCTTCTATTGTTCTTCGTGAGGATTTAAAATGTGGCCCCATAGAGAGCGAGGCTCCAGCTTGCTTAGCTGGATTGAGTTACAGTGTACTTTAATATCCATTTTAATATTTCTAGCTGATTAATTCTCGCCAAGACTTACCATCAGAGTATATGGGGCTTCCACCATGCCTGCACGCAGTGCATCCAGGTAGAGCGGATGAAACTAATGCCACACGATCTGCAATTCAAAACGCGTCAATAATACATAATTGTACTAATGTAAAAAACATTTGACATGTACTATTACTCAATTTTCACGAAATTTTATGTAATTAAAATATTTCATCGAAATTGTACACAATATTTTCTCTATGTTCGTTAAAATTTAATTAATCAGTTCCTTTCTTTCGTACGTATGTGCTGATTATTATGAAAGTGGTCTAAGTGAAAAATCTAAAAAAATTGAACTTACCACTTATTTTACGTTGCGTCGATCTTTTCATAGAAAATAGTTATAAGAGCAAGTATTTTGCGAAATATTTTATTTACACAGTGAGAAAATATTTTTGAATACACCCAAAGGGAAAATTTTAAATATCTCGATACGAAAGATATCTGACTTGGGCCACTTTCGTAATCACCCGCTCATACATGTTTTTGATCAACTCGTGTGAAAGCAGTATGAAGAATCCACTGGTGTACGAAACGAAACGAGAATCATGGAAACTACGAGAAGCGTATGCGCGCACGAAAATAGAAGTGAAATTCGATAAAAGTAGAGTGACGAAAACCCGACGTTCAATTTCAGCACCTGGAAAGCACAATTTTCACAAAAATTACCGGCCGTTTGCCAAATCAGTTAACACGACAAGACGAAAAGAAAAAAAAATCGATGAAATGTAAATATTAATATTAATACTTTTTATACCGTTGCATTAAAGAATTACTTAGCTAAACTCTTATAAGCGTTTGAATTACATTATTACAACGATTTACTTTAGAGTATGTAGTTAATCAACAGCCATAAAAATCTTTGTCATTTAGTAGTGCTGAGCCTGGTTATTAATGAAATTTATTTTAAATATAAAAAGATAAGCATCGATCAAGTGCTTTGATACTAAAATTTTAAAAAATTCTAAAAGTGCATTTCGGCCCGTCAACTGCTCATATGCCAAGGTAGAAAAGTAATACATCTACAGACATACGGTTCACAGTAACTGCGACGTTTTCTTCGATTAACAATTTAGTAGACAGAGGAGGCATTAATAAATCGGTTAGCATTAGAGCTAATTAGCGCTAATTAGTTAGAAAATACGTTCAGTTGCACAGGCACGAACCTACCGCCACTATGATAATGCATTTTTCTTTTCAAAGAAGCCTCGGCTGGTTTGAAGTGGAAAAAGGAGGGAGTGTAACCGCTGCCAGGAAGCGAGCTCAGGGCATCGTCTCGATCACGAATCACTGTGGCGGGAGCTTCTCGGCCAAGGGCGGCTAACTGGCGACCTTTCGGCAGGAACATTGTCAGAAACACAAGAAGGGAAGTAGTCAATAAACCATAAGCCAGCCAAGCCTCTCTGTCACTCTCCGTCAAAGATGCCATCGAACCAATCGCGCTCGATATCCAAATCGGAAGCGATAAGCCAACAGCGAGGCCGATAAATGCAGCTTCCCGGTTGTTGTCTTGTACGCCGCGTGCTCGGACTGCTAAACAAGCTACTGCAACCAGCAATGCGCCCGGATACCTGAAATCCGATCGTCCGATCTTCAATCTACTGTTTCAAAAATCATTCCCGCGAATGTACACTGCTCGCTAAAAAAATTCCAACACCTAGAAATTGGTGCGGTACAAATCTTCGATCTCTACGCAGACAAATTTATTTTCGGGCTACTTTGAGGAGAAAATGACCTTTCTCAATAAATAACGCCTTTTTAACCAAATTTTAATTACTTCTCCCTTTCCAAACGATATATGTAAACTTCAGATTTGTGCGATTTCATTTTTCAGGTGTTGCAATTTTTTTCGCGAGCAGTGTATTGAAATGAGAATCGTAGAAATGATTTTTATTGTAAAACAGATTATGATACTGGAGATAGCTTTGTGTTTTACTAACAGTATTTTTTCAATTCATTAAATGGTGGTTTTAACACACATATTCAGTACTAATTGGTATATCAAAATATTCAACTAATGGTATTCAGAAATGTTTAATCACCGAACTATGGGTACAATTGTCGATAAATTGATTAAAATCCGTAGGAACATTTCATAAACGGGCAGAATCATCTTGACTGATTTTAACAGAGCAATCTTCCATTTTTCTTTCGGTATTGCAAGGACGTGTATCAACATTTTTATCATTTTAAATAAAACATTTACTAAGAACGCAATGAACAGATAGATTGTTTGGAAGCTGAGCGCAAATTGATACAGTCTATCGAAATAAAGCATAACATGTGTTACTATAAAATTAGGGAATATCGTTCACCTGAATTTGAGTAGTTTGTCAACACGACGGACCATATTATATTTATAGTACAATTAACATAGCAATAATATAGATACCGGAATAATATTATGCGCAAAAAGATATTCAATTCAAAATTCAGACAAATAATTTCCAAACATTTTCCTGTAATTTTTCATTCACTAATGTAAACGAACCAACTTTCGCTTGAGTTCATATCAACTCTTTTCTACAACCGAAAAATAGTGTCGGTAGAAGGTTTACATTTCAAAAGTTTACCCGAGGGACGCCACTATCTGCCCAAGAGTGGTTTTGCAACAAATTAAAGAGCTTTGCTCAGAGTTTTGTAGCTTGACTACCGCCGGTAGTTCACCGTAAAACCATTGTCCAATGATGGCTACCTGCACAAGCACAGCAAATCCCAATACTAGTGCCTGAAACAAGAAGAATAAAATAATGCACTATTAATAAAATAATATGTTCCTCAATGTCCACAAGAGTTGCATGAGTGTAACTTGCGTTTCATTACAGGTAAAATGTGCGTTAATTGATCGTCAGATTCTGATCGATTAAAAACGGTGTAGTTAATATATTGGTACACCTATCCCCCGATTTACACGGAAGGTCGGTTCCTCGGAATACCGTGTAAATCGAAATCATGGCTTTTTGTATGAAAAACCGTGTAAATCGAAAAAAAAAAATAAAACGGGCACAATTTAGTCAGTTATTTAATTAAATTCATTTATTTCAACGTAAAATAAAAAATAAAATACAAATGGAAAACAAAAGATATCAGTCCATTCATGAAATAATAAATATATAAAGCTATATGTATGTAATTCATTTTACATATAGAAACAAGAAGTATAAATTAAAAAATTTAACCAAAAATTTAATTACTCTTATCACTTTCGTAGACTGTTAATCTTTTATTCCTGGTTGGTATGATGTCACTTTCATCACTCGATAGTACTTGATGCGATTCAAGTTCGATGTTAGATGAATTAGAAACAATTTCAGATCGGCGAGCCTTGGTAATGAAATCCGTAATTAACAATTGTGTTTGGTTTTTTGATCAAATCTTTATAGACCTCCTCATACTGAGTTAAGCGTTTATTAATATCTCGCTGAAATAGGAGAGCTCGTTCAACATTCGGGTCATTTTGCAGAAAATGATTACCCAATTTTAAAAACCGTGTAAAAGTGAAATCGTGTAAATAAAGTACTCCCAATTAACACTCTTAACGCATGTCCGTCGTGTTATAATTCAGTTGCAACCAAGAAATTTTTTCCGGTAAGTGTAGCATTAAGCGCACGAGATTACAAATGAAGAAGTATTATACAAGCAGAAGCGCACCGGGGATTTTTGTAAGAAGTTATTTCATTAACTGGTCTTCGTTCTTGCCGTCGTTTCCTTTAATGCGTATAATTACAGCTGTCCATGGCGAACGATAAAAGGAAACACGTCGAATCTGTTACATCGAGTAGAGAATGTTAACAGATATTATATATTATTTGACGAACGGCAAAATGTAGTTAGCGACCACGACAGCCACCTCTACTGCTAATAGTAGCGGGTTTTACTGCTGCATTACTTTTCATTCAAATCCCGTCCAGTAGCGTACAAATAGTCGATAGAGATCGACATCCGGATCTCCGGCACGGTGAAATGAGAAAAGTACCGTGCATCCTTCATGAAAGCTGTTCCACAAGTTTCAGCGGTCCGTTTTCTAAAGTTGTATTCACACTGATTTGCTAAGTACTTTCGATTGTCTTTTGATTCCTTAACCTGACGAGTTAACTCGTCGTTGGCTCGCAAAAGCTTAGAACGCAATAGTTTTCTGTACCGAGGGATTGTTCAATTTTAATTGTACCGTTACGCCTGTGTGTTAAATGTAAAATACGTCATATTCACATTTTGCAAGAACCAAAATGAAGCAACTGGTTATCTTAGGTCCTCCCATAAGTTCGTAACCAAGGCGAGAAATATTTTAATGAAAATCCAAGGAAATTCTACAGCGACGACACAATGATCTTATCGAAAAAATAGGAAAAAGTTGTGGAATGAGAAGGCGCTTACGTTATTTTTTTTTTTTTATTAAATTTAAAAGTGCGCTGGAAATATTGATCTGAATTATAAAATTCGACACAAACTTGTAGGATGACCTAATAATTTTTGCTCACTGATAATTATAACTAGGGAGACTCAATTTCTGTTCGAGAGGTGAACCCAGTTAACAGGGTTTCGTAAATGGTTAAAAACACTGAATGGTAAATAATATTGCAAGGTTTCTGGATTATGGTAAGCAACGGCATAACGGAGCAAAAAGGGTCGTAAATGTCGTTGATTGGAAATGATACGTAAGTTTAAGTAACTGCAAACCAGATTAAAGATACTAGTTTCCATACAATTGAGATTACTTTACTTTTGCATGTATTCTAAACTTGATACTTTTTGCTTTCATCGTCGACGAATAGTGTCACGTTTGTTATAAAATAAATAAAATACATGTAATAAAATAAATAAAAATAAATAAAATATATTCGTTCTAACGAATAAATTTAGGATTCATTTCTCGTACACTAAAAAATGTAATTCTTCTTGCGATTCAAAATCGATTCATATACACAGGGCCGTGTTGATATCTTCCGGAGGTCCCAGGCGCACCATCATTACGAGGTCTCAAAAGACCAAGTCTTAAATATGTTTTCTATTTCCGTTTTCAGCGGCCTCTTATTTTTATATTATGAATTTAATATTTAAAAATAAGTATTTTATTTCGCAACTGTAACTAGGTTGTTTTTTGTATTGTTGTTTTAAAATGTGACCCCGTAGAGAGTAAACACGCCCCTGCATATACACTACCGGCCAAAAGTTTGGAATCACCTCCCACTTTTCATCAATACTAAATCTGCTGATAATTTTTTATAGATTTCAAGTTTATCTCAATTCTACATTTATCAATTTATCTCGTACCAATTGATTCGAATGATAAAAAATTCTCAAAGTCGCTGACTTTTTTCTAGAAATTTTTGTGTAAATTGCGATGCTCAGTGATTCCAAACTTTTGGCCGGTAGTGTACGTAATAGTACCTTATCAGTTGTCATTGATATTGTTTACCGTAAAACGTTCTGAAATATTAGCGAACTTACCTGATAAGGTGCTGGTAAATAAACGCCGCTGTTTAACGAAAGTAGAAAGACGCATTTGACCAACAGGGCCGCAAACACGAGGGCAGCAGGTAAACCGACTAATCGGAATGCAGCGCAGGATAAAGTATTTTGGCTGAGAGAGGCTGCCGCTGAGAGTCCTGCCAGAAGGAAAAGCCCTAAAAGTAGAGCTTGTCCCAGAAATAAATGCCGTCTGTTCGGCGCTGTTACCCTTGCCTGAAAAATAACATTAAATTTCCTCCTATATTAGGTGTTTAGGTTCATCTGAATAACACACTGCTCGCCGAAAAAATTGCAACACCTTAAAAATGAAATCGCACAAATTTGAAATTTACATATATTATTTGGGGTGTTGAAAGGGAGAAACAATCAAAAGTTGGTTAAAAAAGGTCACTTTTTCTCAGAGTAGCCTGAAAAACATAGGTATTGCAATTTTTTTTTAGCGAGCAGTGTAGATGATTTTAGAAAAGTAAGCAGAAACACAACTCGTTTATAAATGACATTTTGAATACCTAAACAGCAAACTTTGCTTTTTCTATGCATCGATCAAACGCTACTTTTAAACATGAAATATTCGAAAAATCTTATTACTTCTATTTAACTTAACACCATAGTAAGGAATGTCGACAAAATCTTATTTTGAAAAGACTGTTTTTCTGTAGAATGTAATTCTGAAAAGTAATATGTATATGATGGTGTTTCACACAAGATCGTCAGTATACTCCAATTTTTCTTCGTTAACAAAGAATATAATGCACCATTTATTTCTGCCTATCTTTTCAAAGTTGATTCACGTTTCCTAGCGTTTATTTTAGCATTCTTCGATAAGTTAGAAAAATAATATGTTGAAGACTATTACGTACTAAACTATTCGTAGACAGGATCGTTACGTGTGTGATATACATATGTACACTACCGGCCAAATGTTTGGAATCACTGTGCATTGCAAGTTGCACAAAAATTCCCCCAAAAGATTAGCATTTATAATCATTTTCCAACGAATTTTTTATCATTCAGATCAATCGAAATGAGGTAAAGTGCTATTGATCTCCACAATATCAATTTCGAATCAATAAAGAATTAGTAGCAGATTCAATGTTAATATAAATTGGCAGGTGATTCCAAACTTTCGGCCGGTAGTGTATATAAATAGGTCAATGATAATTGTTCGATTTAATTTCTTTAATTTGAATAATTAATAGCTATAGTTAAACGTAAAGCTTCAATTAAATTGATGATTTTGTTTAACAACTTTGTCGTTTGCTGTATAAGGTAACTGATTGCTTATTCTACATTAAAATTTTTTTTTCATTTCGATAATAATTTGACCTTCTTTAGCATATTGCCGGTTTATTTTAGACACAGGGTGAGTTAGCTAACATTAGAACCTAAAACTTTACCACTTTTCTTGATAATAGGAAAAAGTGCGTAAAAAACAATATTTGGTTTAAGCTAACAATTGTTATGATAATCATATTTCCAAAAATTTCAGTGTCATCGACGTTTCGTTAAATGAAATAACAAACGATAAGAAGACAAATTCATCTATACGGAATATAATATATTGGTATATTGGTTACCGGCAACGTCTTGTGATGTAATTAGATTATCGTTTGATTAGAATTACCTCGCAGGATGTTATCCGTAGTCAATATTTCAATATATTATATTCTGTCTAGATGAATTTGTCTTTTTATCGATTACTCTATCCCAATTTCGTTAGTAAGTACCCGCATCGTCATCGAACATTAGATTATGCCATTTGATTACAATTGCTAACAAAATTCTCACCTTATTAATACTGAAAATATTCTCGAAACTTATCTTTATTTATAAATAATATTTTATCGAATAAGGAGAATGAATAAAAATTAAATTTGTTTTTCTTCTTTTTTATCAGCTACAATGTCACAGTAGTAAAAATATGTTATCTCATTTAATGAAATATTGATAGACCGAAATTTCCCAAAATATGATCACCCTTATATTTGCCCCACTAAACTGAAACCATTTTTATAGAATTAAAATGAATCAGGTATATCAGTTCTAGTATTAAGTTCCACATTCCGATTGTATATGAGCAACAAGATATAAGCCACTCAGAAGCCAAATGATTAGCTCAATTTTTTGATATTCTTCCAATTTTAGTATCGAAGCACATGCCTGGTGCTTAATTTTTCATAAATAGAAGAAATTTAGTAAATTTTATTTGACGAAGTTAGTCACTTTGGCTTCTGAGTGGCTCACATATTAGTCTTTTACTGACATTGATGTTCGTTCTACCAAAAGCAACAAATAGATATTTTTACTAGTACGTCTCTAATAAGATACAAATAAATTTACATAAACATAAATCATGCATTAATTGTATTGAACTTAATAGCACTTATTGTTCGTTACGATGCGCAAATGGAAAACTTGAAGTGCTACAAGTCCTTCAAGAAAATGATAAGTAACTTTAAAATGTATGTACTACCGTCGTTAAAAAATGACACCAACGACCATCATTGTATCTCTTTAAACCTACACCTTATGATGGTAATATTTATGTTTATATTGTACGATAACAAACATTTATTTCATCTACTCTTCTTATATTTATTAAAAAAAATCATTTTTAAGAAAGTATTAAGTCTATGCAGAAGTTTCTGTCGCTTGTAAATCGACGACACTGAAAGGCACTGTACGCTTCTTGCCTTACTGAAATTTTCACAATTGGTGTTTATACCGGACATAGTATTAATATAATATTAAATATTCATTCATCCAAAACCAAACACAATGGGAACTTTTGCATAGGCCTAATAAAAGAGAACACAAATAAAAGAAAATTGATTTGTAGATCTAAAAGGAGCCACCGATGGCCGTGCGTGTATGGCGTGTATGTTGAACGTAATAGAAATGTCACGTTTGCTATCAGAGACTTTCTTGACTGCTCCTATTCAATAGAGTGTATCGATACGAGCAGACAACACGGTTAAGAGAAATAGGCGATATGCAAACTAGGCCTAGGTCTCGGCGAAATTGCGAGCGTGTAAATTATTGGAGCTTGTCGAACTATGAATGAAAACAATTAACATTCTTCTACATGTTTCCTCGTGCTATCGAGCCAGAAAGAAACAAAGATTCCTCCCTAAGCTCTATTAACCCGCGACTTCCTCAAATCACAATTAACCGATACACATACGATTACAAAAAAAGCGTTTCGCACCATGGAACGCAATCAATTCGATCGGTAATACGCTTTCCTCGGTTTATTTTTTTAAGTACACGTTAAACACATTTCTGATTGTAAGACAGACGAGTTGTTGATTTCATTTCACTGCAACTGTTCCATTTGAATTTTCAAGCCATTATGGTGGAATTCGGGAAATATCGCAAGGGCACGCCCACGACAAATTGTATTTTTCAAATAATGCTACGTGACTTTGTAATTGCGAGGTATAAAAATGTAAATTAGCGTCGCGATAGTGTATATATAAAATTTATGCGAAACAAACGAATTTGAAATTGCGTTTCGTGATTTATGCATACTAGGTTGGTGCAGAAACTAAATTTACATATATCAACTGTACTACTTTTGAACGATATCTTCAACGATTACTTATATCATTAATTAATACATTAAACAATCTCTACTATCAGTTGCCCTTAAAAACGGTAGATATTTATGTACGAAATTATTTGCGTAAAAAATGTTCAGGATTGCTTTTTCTCAATGAAAATTTTTAAACAAACGAAATTGAAACTCGACGCGATTGTGAGATACAATGTACATCTATAACGACAGAAAAAACATGAAATAATTATACAATTTGTACAAAGTAAAATAAGAATATATGTCAACACTAATTGAAGCATTAAAATTACAATAGAACATAACGTTTCTTAATAAATAGATTTCTTCAACGAACTAGTTCTCTAGGTTCCCTATTAAATAAATATTTCCTTAATCTTAATTCGAACTTGTCGTCAGTTTGGAGAATATTGTTGTAAAAGTAAACGAACCGACCTTGAGCAGTACGAAAACCTCGAAGCCAGCCATGAGGAGCATCGTGGTTGCGCTAAGAGCCGCCAGAGGAAGAGCCCAGGGTCGTTGTCTGAGCAAGGACCTCGAGTACGGTCGAGTATCGGGCTCGATCTCCTGGCTCTTTTTTTCAGAAGGCATTTTGAATACCGAAACGGTCCTGTTCGGTGCTGGAACACTGATGACACTCGCAACACTGGCCAGGCCGTTCTTATCCATCGCCACATCACTAGGTACCAGGAAGAATTCTGTCGACAACTCGTAATTCTTTGATGTTTGAACTCGTATTGCCGTAGTTCCGGTTGGACTGAGCCAGCTCGCCGTGGCCCACGATAAGATAATCGGGCTCAGTCTCATGGCGTCATCCGTGTTCCGCGGTTATCTCTGTATGACTTTTTCTCCAAGCTTTTGTAGCGTCACCGGGACATGCACCGTTTCCTGCGTAAACGCATCCTTATGCGCCTGCCTCTCTTACCCTCGAGAAATGGCACCTGTAATTACCATTTGCTTCGGTAATTAAGACTTGTTGATTCATTTGATTAGATTTAGTGCCTAGCTGAAACCGCACATAGGCTATAACGAGGAACCGTTTCGAAGTCGTATCGACGTGTCGTTCACTCGATAATTCAGTCAATCGGTCAGAACAGAAATTGTTATTTTTAGTGAAAAGTTATTCCTTTCCAGGAGAATAAATTACGGATATATCAGTTAGCCTAAATAACTCTTTCTCTTTTTTGTACTTTGCAGTTACAATTTGTTTTAGTGGAAATTTGGTATCGCTTTTCATGAAGTTATTAATGGTTGTTAATGAAACGTATGTAAAGCTTAAGGCACATATATTTCATGTTACGCTTTCTCACGGAAATTGGACGTTTCCAGTTGAACCCCGTTTTTCTTTTTTTTCGAATTCGTTTCAATTACTATTTTATCTTTAAATGTAAATTTCGAAAATGATACTTATAATGTAAATAAAAGGATACAAAGGTGTTACAATCTTTTAAAACTGCAGTCAACTACTACTATAATCTGTGAAATACAAGTCACGTTTTATACGTAAAACCTTGGAAAAAATGAAATATGCTCGATGATAAAGCTTCTCATTTATAACGAAAAAGACAGCACATAAAGAATTTCATTAAAACAATTTACTGAAATTTTTATTCATAAACGCTTTGTGGAATAATTTCAGTACTAACAAAACCAAATAAACCGTGGCCTATTCTCTGTGAGAGCCAAGCATGACCAGTCCCCAGGCATTCACGGAGTCTAACACCATTAATTATTATGAACAGGGTCAGCCGTAAGTAGAGTGAATCATGGACTAACTAAAACCGGAGTAAAAGCGTAAAAACAGGTATCATGATGCACAGTACTATAATCGATTCGAATTGCACGAATATTAACTACAACTGCATATTTAATCATTGTGATTGGTGAACCTTTTTAAGTGTCAATCATTGTCTGTCTTCGATATCTCGGCGGTATTGCTCCTCGCACATTTTTTTCTCGCTTCAGCTTCGTTCAATGGCAACGACTTGAATCTGTTAATTGAATGAAATAGCACTATCGACGTTGCAAAGTAATTGAACGGAATCGCGGCAATAATTGTCAATGTTTCTCGTATTATTGGAGGACCGTGTTTTGCGGCGAATAATTCGATGTAACAAAGATGAACGAAGATTATACAGGATGTTGTAAAATGGTTCTTTGATACTAAATGAAATTTTCTGGCAGAACATGGATCGGCTCTCTGATTGGATAAGTCAGTGAAGTGGCTACGATGCGCGCGTTGTAAGAGCCAAACTCCAACTAAGCCAACGAACATTCTCCGGAGAGAAACTGGAAGCAAACTGGAGTTCCGTTCTGGAGGTGAAGCGTATCCGTTACGAAGGAGCTGGAGAGTGGTGATGACGATGCTGAGGTGGTAGTGGCATACAGCAGGAGCGGATCCACGCAGACGTTGCAATTGATCTGTCTTTTTCTATGAAATGATAAAAATGAAAGATGTGAAAATTTCGGTACGAATGGCAATAACCTCTATTTCGAGGTATTAAGTACTAAATTATGAAACACTGCTGCTAATTACCCGCTCGATGATATCGTATTAATTATAAAAAGTGAGAAATTTCATCGTTCGTGTATTTTCATTGTCGAAAATATAAATTTGACAAACTGATAGAAAATTTTATAATTGCATACCTGAAAATTTATTAAAATTTGACAAATCTTAGCGAAGCAACATTTCTATTTCATAGATTCTAATACGCCATGTATATACTAATAATGATTGTACCGTTGATTAATTCAAAAGTGTTTATTCCTTTTTAGTATTGTATGTTAGTACGTTTAGTATTGTAAATCGGAGTACTCGATCTCGTGATAATTTCATTACAATAAATATACAAAAAAATTATGCGGCGTGAATTTTTTCTAATCTATATACTTAAATATGCAGTTTCAGATCCGAAGGAGATGCACGAGTTCGTTGCGACAGTTAAAATAGAAACAAACTCGTCACATTTTCTGAACACTAATAAGATAACTAGACTTCGTATAAATAGGTGTATCGCAAGCAGGTCTATTTTATCGAGATAATTTCAATCTGATCCGTCCCTGACAGGATGAGAGAAAGAGTAATGTGAAATAAAAGAGGAATAGAAAGAAGGATTGAAATAAGAGAAAGAAAAAGGGAAGAGCTGGTCCTCCGATGTCGAGGACCGGACCCAGCGACAGATTTACATATCGCACGTGTAATAACCTCGAAAAAGTTTTAACAATGATCCCACAGGCCGCCTAGGTTGCTATTCTGTTGAATTTCGATGAAATAAAAAGCATCTTCACAGATGACCTCGCATTTTTTTTTTTTTTTTTTTTTTTTTTTTTTTTTTTTTTTTTTTTTTTTTTTTTTTTTTTTTTTTTTTTTTTTTTTTTTTTTTTTTTTTTTTTTTTTTTTTTTTTTTTTTTTTTTTTTTTTTTTTTTTTTCAATAAGAAACTTGTTACGTAAAGGAATCGTGATAATTTTATTCGGTGAAGGAATAAAGATACAGAACCGTGAATTGTCTTCGAGGTCGTTGTAATATGGAAACAGAGGTTGGAACATATCTAATATGAATAAAATGTCCCTCCTTTGAAATACAGCCAGCACGGATCATTCATCTCGTAGGATGGACACGCGAGGTGGAAATAATTTACCTTGGCCCAGAAATCACTTGCAAAATAATCCATCGACGGTGAAAGTGATAACAGGGAAGGTTTCTTTTCTGAATGTAAGCAGCGCGTCTTATTTGAGCTCGGACTAGATAACATGTAGGCGACTGGTCGGGCGTCACAGATCAATGATCGTTTGCGCACATACGACACGTTCGGTAGCCGTACACGATCGACCCCTTACAAGCAAGGTTCGATGAACTCCTTGCCTCGAAAACCGGACAAACCGTTTGCACGTTAGGTTCGGATGGCTCAGTCTCGTCGATAGTAAGTATGTATATGCGAACACGTTGTGGGTTTTTTTCTTTTTCACTGAAAGTAATGTTTCCAAAGATAAAGCCCGTCCAATGGGAAGCTTCGAATTCAGACGTATCGATGTCGATAACTTACACCTTCTCCACTATTACCATTTTATTAAAAGAAATCACCTTTAATGACATTTCATTCCACGTAGACTAATCAAGAGATCTGTGTTATCGTCTAGACAAACATAGTGGTCTCTGTTTAACACTGGAATGACCGGCGGAGTAAAAATGAGCCATTAGCAACGTTTCCAAAAACAGCGAATATTCGATATTATATAACTTTGCGACTTTGTTTTCTGCGTGAATTTAATTTTTCAATTGCGTTTTAGTTATATAAAAATTCACTTTTAGAAAGTCGCTAATGGGTCATTTTTGTGTTAATACTAGTGTTACATTTGCTTTAGACTTTAATAATAATTTACTTTCAATGACAGATTTTTGAGATTAAATGATATTCTGTCGATTGAAATATCTCGAATAACATTTCACGTGAAGATAACTTGTTTAACATTATCCACTCTGTGAAGAAATATTAATAAGGTTCTTCTTTTTAGCGGAAAACATTTGTTTAGACATTTATCAACATCTCACAAAGTTAAAAAAGAAAATAAATTCATACTATAAAATTTCTGACGTTGCGTTAACGCAACATTGGAAACATATGGACGAAAAAATATTAAACGCCGTTTTTTGGAATTTTGCATTTAGCATGCATGCCATTTGTACTTCTGTATACTGCACGACGTCTTCTTCAGTTTTCACTGTTTCTCTCAATTGTATGACCCATATTATCGAAACGTGTAATGGATGGTAGAGGCGCAGTGGAACCGCGTCCTCGAGCAGATTATTTCTCACATTTGTTTATACCAAAGAGACTCCGTACAAGTTCAGGCCTGAAATCGAGCTAGGAAATAAATTTTTCTTTATGTACAAGTCTGTGCAGTTTCCAAAAATTTACCGTCAGAGTCAGAATTTAGAGTCAGTCATACTTATAAATAATGGCCACTATCATTTTTTTCCTTAAAAAATATACATATGTCCTCTTTTAGGTTGTGCAGATTCACAATTGTTTTTCACTGGAACCACAGAATTGTCGTTCTAACGTGTGTAATGCGTGATCGTAAGAGACATCCAGTATACCTACGACGACCATATTTTTTTGGAGAAAGTAAAGGGCAAATCAGAAATTGTTTCATGTTTAAAAAAAATTTAATTTTGATACTTTTCACAAGAATGAACCTCTTTTAATAAGTCAGGTTTGTGTTTTGAAAATTCATAAAACTGTGTACAATTCGTATCAAAGTTGCATTTGGTATAAATGCATGCTTGCAATGTTTCAATTTTTAATTGGGTCTTTTCACTGGTCCACGTATTATTCACTAATGAAAATACTCGTTCAGTAGGGGGCATTAGATCCAGGGAGAAATAAGCAAAATTCAACGATTTTTAAAATGTTTTTAAAAGATACGTCTTTATCTGAGAAGTATTTCAAAATTTCAGCCCATCTACATACGTTCGCAGGATTCGTCATTTTGTCACTATTTTTCGATCTTTTCAATTAGTTCAATTTACTATTTCAATTCACAAAATAAAAGACAAAATGGCAGTTTTCTTTCATTTCAAAAACAATTTTTGCTGAGTGACGTCCAAAGTAGGGTACCATTCGTCCACCAATTGACGAATGATATCTGAAAACTCCAAACTTCAAGAAATTCCGGGTCAACTGATCAATTGATCAGTATAATTTACTGTCTAATTTATCGTTATCTACAAGGTACATGCTCTGTTTTATAGCGAGATATCCGTTTCGAGACGTATTTAGCATTTTTTACAAATTGAACATC